CAGTAACGCCCCCAAGAAAAACCTCTTTGTCACCCGGTCGCCAAGCAATAGCACCAGCAATTTGAGCAGCCCTGGTGTGTGTGTGCATGCATGTGTGTGCATGTATGTGCGTGCATGCACTTACACATGTTAGGGGAATGCAGTTAAGAAAGTGACAAGAGAGGTAAAGGTAGGGGTCAGGAGCCAAATCCCAGTGCCCCTGTCCTATGTGTCCTGAAATAGTATTAGGCAAAACCCACCCATTCAAATTTGGTCTCAGATACTTGCCACCAGTTTCCAGAAGCCACTCTCCCTCAGTGAGCCTCAGTTTCCCCTTCTGTAAATGAGAAGAACTCTCGGTGCCCCAAATCTTCCAGACTCAAGGAGGGACCAGATGGCAGGTCACAGGGGCACTACTGGCCTAGGCTGTGGGGAGTGGGAGGCCGGGAGCCCCATGACCCATGCCACACCCCACCCACCACCCCGTGAGCGCTAGGGAGCGCGCCTGCAGGAGCGCGCGTGTGTGACTCAAGCTCTATTCATAGCCGAGCTCCGCCAGCTGCAGCGTCACAAGCAGCGGGGCCTCAGCCCATATTATTATTTCAATTACCATCTGAATTAAAAGTTTGAGCAGCGATCAGCCCACGTAGCCAGGGGAAGAGGGAGCAGGAGAAAAATAAAGATGAGAAGGAGAAGAAGGGCTAAGCCTGGAGATCCCCCACACCCCAAGGAGGGCTGAGGCTGCTGAGGCAGCTTAAAGGTTAGGCTGGTCCCCAGCGCCCCTGCCCGCCCCTTGCCAGGGCCTAGGGTCCTCATGAGAACGGGAGGAGCTTCTTGAGATGACACAACTCAACAGCAGCTACTTGGTGGAAATAGATCATTCCATCCAGACTCTTTGTTACATGGGTAAGCTGACTGAGCACAGAGAGGGTGACTGACTGACCTAAGGTCACACAGGAAGCCACACCCAAGGCTGCTGTCTCCAAGACCTTTCCTTCACAGATAGATTACATACTCAGCTACACACACACACACACATGCAGAAACACACACACACCTCACCAGTCCATATTACACTGACGCTGATGTCTGTGGGTGATCCCAGGAAGGACAGAGGTAGAACCTGCTGTCCCTGTTTGTTTTTCTCCCTGGTCTCTGAAGCCATCATCTCATGCCACTATCAGCCCTAAGCCCCTTCTCGTCCTCATGGGCAGGGGACAGAGTTCCTGGCTGCAGATAGGCAGCCTGATGGAAATGTGACTGTCTGGACACCTTTGGTAGGTGGTTCCTTGTATCTGAACCTGTCTTCCTGTCTATAAAACGAGCAAGCGCCTTCGGTTTATGTCTGTATCTGTCTCCAGAATGCAGCTCCAGAGGGTCCTCCAGGGGGTGTCATGCTGTGGGGGCGACTAAACCATCTCCTGCCAAGCCCTAGCCCCACGGAAGAATATTTCCCACTCTTTTCCTAGGGAAACCCCACAGATGGCCCCTGAGAATCAGATCAGTCTAAACTCAAACCTGGGATCTTCCGCTTCCTTGCTGTGTGACCTTGGGCAAATCACACAGACTCTCTGGGCTGTGGTTTCCTATCTACAATGTGGGCATATGAAATTAACAGAGTGCTGGGGGGATTAAACAAGAATTTGCAAAAGCTCCTAGCCCAGTCCCTGGCAAGGCAGTGAGTGTAACCCAGCGGGGAAGGCGGTAGGTGAGGGGCATCACCTCCCAGTGACTTCCTGGGAATATCAAAGACGCCAAGGGTTTTGGAACTAGGCATGTCAGTCGCCTTCACCCATGAAGCAAGAGTCACTAGGCCAGCATCCCTGGCTATTTGAATATCCCTTAGAATGAGCTACTCACTACTTCACTAAACACCCACAGTTACTCCCCATCTCTCCCTGCCTCCAGTTCTGGGAATTTTCTAGAATGGTTTGAGAGGAATTCCTCAAATAGACCAGAGGAGGGATGGGATTAAAGTCCTGGATAGTGAGGGGAGGTGACCCAAGTCAGAGCTGGACTCCCGAAGTTTTTGGTCCTGATGGGCCATAGTGTTGCAGAGGACCGGGGTGTGCTGCCTGTCTGGGTCCAGGCAGAGCTGGGAGCCAGGAGCCCTGCTTCTTCTACCCCCAAGGCACCACTCTGTGACCCTGGGGGCTACTTTCCCCTCTGGGGCTTGGTTTCCACTTTTGTAAGACTAGTGATGTAAGTGCCAAGCCTCCATCTGAATGAAGCCACCTGTCCCCTACACCCTGCCCTGCCCTGCCTCAGGCAGTGGCTTGGCCAACTGCCTCCTGCCTCTGGCTACTATGCTGGGAGCCAGAAGGCCGTCCTCAGGGACCTGCCTCACATGTGCCTTGGAGGTTGACTGGAGGTTTCCATCATCCCCATTTCATAAATGAGGAGACGGAGGCTGTCTGTTCAAGGTCCAAGTTCAGGGTTCCCTCCTCTGTGTCCAAAGTACTGGAAGGCATCTTTATTCAGGAATCACCCAGACCTTGAGTGGTCAGCTGTTCTCTACACAGACGTGGACTCTGCATAGGAGGACCTTCCCAAGGTCACACAGCAAGGCAACCACAAATCAGGGTCCTAAACTTCCCAGGCCTCCCCTAGCCAGGGGGACAGCAACAGGGCCTGACTTCCTGCCCTAGCCCTGAGATCTCTCAGGATTGGGGCCCTGCCTTTAGGTACTGCTTGGCAACCCCTAGAAGGCCCCCGCTATGACTCAGGTTGAAAGAGTGGGTAGAAGATGGGTAAAAAAGTTGAGGGCTGGCCACTGCCCCACCTCGGTCCCTTCCCCTCCAGTCCCCTGGTGCAGGGGGAACAGTGGTGATGTAATGCACTCAGCTTTCGTCCCGGTGCCAATCTCAGAAGAGAGACGACAGATTGCGTGAGCCAAATTTGGCATCCTAGGGGGAGAGGCATGAAAAGTGGAGATGTGGAGGAGAAGAGAGGAGCCTGGGGGGTGGTGGTGGTAGAAAGGCTGCCAGCAGACCAGTGTGCTCTCTCCTCCATTGGGGCCCCCACTGTTCAGCTGTTTGGCTACTCCTCTGAGAGGTCAGCCTCAGCTGCTCCCCAGGCCCTCCAGCCTCAGCACTGCCAGCCTTGCCCCCCCCCCCCGCCCACCCCCAACACACCGCTCCAGCTCTGTTCCCACCGCTAGTTTCTTGGTTACAATGTTGCTGGTTGTCATGTCGCTTACATGTCCTCGTGACTCAGTGGTCCCCACAGAGGGGCCCCCTCCTCCTCACACCCCCCTTAGCACTCGCCCCCGCCTCCCCCAGATCCACATTAAGAACCAGCCCGCCCAGCAAGCCTACACAGTTCCTCCTCCCCTTCCCTCTCATCCTAAGCTCAGGAATCAGGAATGGGAATCGAAGCATCCTTCTTGCTTCAAATGCCTGTTAAGAACCTACAGTGTCTGCCGTTCCACTGAGCTGCACTCAGGGACCTGACATAGTCCGTAAGCCCCCCAACACCTTGACGAAGTCAGCATCACCAGTCCTATTCACCAGTTAAAGAAACTGAGGTTCAGAAAAGTCAAACCAGCTATCCAAGGTCATCCCGGCAGAAACCCATAGCCAGTTCTGCCTGGCCACTCACCTCAAAGGCTTCTGGGAAAGATTTCTTTTCAAGGGTAACGCAAAGGGTCATGAAGAATAGTTCCCAAGCTCCAGGTCCTCCTCTGCTCTAACCCCTGTATGTTCCTACCCTTGCCAGTCATCTATTTCCAGCCATATTCCCTTCACACACCCCCATTAGCTACTCATCTCCCTAAAGGGGAGTTCGGCACTTTCCCCAGCCAGTGAACAGCCTTTTGCTCATAGAGTCCAAGGCCCTCCAATGGAGGTCAGTGGGACAAGAATTGATGTCCCCATTCTACAGATGTGGAAGTTGAGGCTCAGGGAGGAATGTGGCTTGCCCAGGGTGCTAGTTTCTCAGTTAGCTGAGCTCATTTCTGGGCACCTGGATGGAGGATGTAATGGGGTTTGATGCCCGGTGTGGGAAACCCAGAAACAGTCCCTCTTCCAATCGAGAATAGAATCGAATGTTCTAGGCTTCAACTTGGATAGGGGTCAGTTCAGTGGGGTACTGCTGCATTGTACCCCACCTCCATTTGCTCCCCTCATCAGAGGCCAGGACCATAGCCCCCCCAAAACCCCTGAAGCTCTGGAGGTCGTGGAACTAGACCGAAGGAGGAGCGAGTAGATGTTTCCCACACCCTTCTCTGGTCCTCCTAGGCCTGGCTCTCCTGCCTGCCTCTGTTCTCCAGCTCCTTCAACCTGCTTCCGGGTCTGTCAGTGTAGCCCAGCCACCATCCTCTCCTACCCAGAGGGCACTCCAGCCAGCCATGTCCCTGCATCTTCACCCCATCCTGCAGCAGGCTCTGCTGGCAGTATTCTGCAGGTGGCAGAGGAAGTTCTCCCTGCTCTGGAGCTCAGCAGACGGCTCTTTCCCTCAGGGTTCTCCCTTACAGAGAAAAGCAGTCACTTCCTTTTTCTTCTCCCCAGCCTCAGTTTCCACCGGTGTAAAACATGAAGTGATCCCTTCTCACCCACCCTGGGGTCATCTGGCACAAAGTAGGTTCTCCAAACAGCAGAAGTTGGATTTTTGTCAAACAGCAAGGCCATTTGCGAAGAGGTTGCAGGTGTGAGGTGGGAAGGAAAGACGCCCCCCTGACACCTTGCCACAAGTCACCTGCCTTGACGCTCCCCGACATGACAACTGGGGTGGGTGGAGGCAGGGAGGGTCATGGCTGGGGGAAGAGGTCAAGATCCCTTCCACCCACCTCCTCTCTCGCTGGCTGCAACCCAGACTGACGCTCTGGACAGACAAATCGACAGAGCGCACCAGCTCCGGAGGAGTCACGGGACCGCGCCAAAAGCGCGGGGCAGCTGATACCCAGGTCGGGATAAGTGCAGAGAAGACGCGAAGACGCGGCCGGGCCCCAGGACACACAGACACGACGCGGCCGGACAGACGATGAACGGACAGCGTCCGCGGTGGGAGAGCGCCTGGCTTACCGCGGGGCGGAGGGTGCGATGAGTGTCTAGTAGGCGGCAAGCAGACGCTACATCCCCCGGTGCAGTCCGGCGGACGGCGTCCCGGACCGGGAGGGGGGAGTCCCGGCGCCCCCTCCCCGCGATCTCGGCCGGCGGTCTGGACGTGGGTCTCCGGGTCTCGGCGCCTCCTGGCCGTCCCACGCCGCTCCCCGTGGGCAGCCCAACTTTCAGCGTTGCCCCGCGCCGCGCCCTGGGCGCCGCTTGGGCGTCAGCATCGTCCGGCCCGGGCCCGGGCTCAGAGCGCGGGGGTCCGGGGGCCCAGGGCGCCCCGCCGCCCGCGCTCGCGCCCCCCGCCCGCGCCTAGGCGCTCTCGCTCCGCCGCCCCGCGCGGTTCCCTCGCTGTCACTCGCTCTGCTGCGCGCTGCCCCCAGCCCTGCGCTGCGCTCCTGCCCGGCAGCGCTGGTCCCTCACTTGCTGCCTTCTCAGCCTCCGGGTCTGGGGTCGCCTTCCCGCTCGGGCCGGTGGGGCCCGACCACCACCTCCCTGCCTCGCTCCGTGCTCTCTCTCCCGCTCCCCTGGCTCCGTTCTCCTCCCCGTCTCTGCAGCCCCGCTCGGGCTCAGCGCTCTCTCCCAGCGGGGTCTCTGTCAACCTCTCCGCTGTCTCCCGACCTCCCCCTGCCTCTGCCCTGTCTCCCTGCGCGTAGCTCTGTCTGTCTTCCTCGTGGGCTCTGTCCTCCGTCTCTCTCGCTCCCACTCCCGGCGCTGCCCCCTCTGTCTGGGACCCAGGCCCCCGCCTCTGTCGCGTCCCCGGCTCGCCCGGGAGCCCGAGCTCCCGCCGCCCGCGGCGCGCCGAGAACTCCCAACTCGCGGCACGCCGCCCCGCTTTGCGAGACTTTCGCCCCTCCTCGCACGTGACCCGCGCCCCACTGCGGAGGCTGCGCCCCCTCCCCCCCCACCCAGCTCGGGAGCCCCGGGCGGCCCACCGGGCCCGGTCCTGCGCAGTCCCCTGGGTCTACACCAGCACCAAACACGTTCCCGCAGGGCGCACGACACCGGGCAGGGGCAGGGGCCGGAGGTTGCAGGCCCCACTCCTGTCCAGATCCTGCCCGGGTTTTCCTGCTCGCACCGGGAGCGCGCCTCCCAGAACCCGTTCCAAGAATCCGCTCCTGGGTTTGCTAGGCCCCGGGGCAGGTGGGGAGGGTTCCTTCAAGGAGAGAAGAGGGTGGGTGGGAGCTGGTCGGCGTAGGGTCCGGTGGCGCCCGGCCACTCTCCTTGGCGGTCTGCGTCCCCCTCCCCCCCCGAAGTGGCAGCAGTTAAGAACCCTAGGCACCCCGCTCCTGGACACCGAGGAGGTCCTGCTGGAGGCGCCCTGATAGTCACCTACTCAGAGCCACCCCATTTCACAGATGGAGAGACCAAGCGAGTACCAGAGAGGCTCAGAAGCTCACCCAAGGTCACCCAGAGGCGGCAGAGTCAGATCCAACCCCACTCGTGCTTCCTGTGCCCCCCCCATTATCCGTATTTTATTAAGCTGTCTTAATAAGGGAGAATCTGGCCTGTCTCCTTCATCCACCTCCATTGTGCCCAGGGTTGGCCCCACGCCCTGGAAACACCCAGCACCCCACAGTCGCTGGTAAACCAGCTACTTTCGTGACCAGTCTGCCACCTCACTCTAACCCTCTAAGGAGACAAGAGGGGAGAAAGCTGGTAGGATGAGAGAACCCAGCAGGCAGACAGCCAGAAGAGCTTGCAAGGAGCTAGGCTATTGATGACCAGCCTAAGTTCAAAGAGAGAGAGAGAGAGAAAGAGAGACCAGCATCCCAAAGCTAGGTGGAGAACTGATTGGCTCCCTAGGCCCCCTACCCCAAGCAGATGACAAACCACCAGAATTCTTTCCCTTCCCGTGGGCTGTCCTTATCCAAAAGGATCAGTATAGTCAGGCTCCACCTGATCCTGCATGCTATGTACCCACACATGCATCCTGATTCCCACAGATTCCAGAACACACCAGATGCCTCCACACCTTTCTGCTTGCACATTCTGTTCCCCCTGCCTGAAATGCCCTTCTCATTCTCTGCCCAGATCCCTCCTGCTGTTCTCCAAGTTCAGCCTCAATGCCGCTCCCCTGAGAAGGCCTCCGATGCCCTGGCAGAAGTGAATCACTGCACACTCATTCATGCAGTCAGCACCGGGTGCCCTCACGCCAGCCCCTGAGCCCAGCACAGTATGGTTCTTGCTTAATCAGTCTGGGAGGCAGACCAACCTGAGCTCAAAAGCACAGGAACTACATGACCTTGAGTGACTTTAAAATTTAACCTATCTATAAATGGGGGCCCTAATGCCCCCCCCAGAAAGTCTGTCCCTTACCTGTCTCCCTCCCTACCCTGCTGTGCTCTCAGTCAGATGGCCAGGACTGACGTTCCCTGACACAAATCCTCAGTAGGTGTGTAGACGGATGGGGCACTTGAGCAACCTGAGTGCCCACTTAGCAACCAAGCTGTGCCGGGTACGTATCACACCTTTTAATGGGCTGCAAGAGACAGGTGCAGGCCAGACAAGGGATTTGCAGTCTCTTCTCCTGGCCAGAGGCTTGGTTGGTCTGGTGGCTGCTCTGAAAGCGTGGGGTTCAGGGGAAGGAGAAAGCAGAAAGAAGGAGTGGGGGGCTGGTAGAGTGGCTTAAGTGGTACAGCACTTGCCTGCCTAGCAAGCCTAGCAAGTGTGAGGCCCTGAGTTCAAACCCCAATATGGCCAAAAAACCAAAAAAACAAAAAAAGAAAGAACGGACATAGAGACAGGGGTGTCTAGATCCAGAAACTGTCTGCTCTCTCAGAATAAGTGCCCCCATGCCAGGTCACAGTGAAAGTTTGAGGGAGGGATGAGGTCACCTTTTTGGGCCTGGGCTGCATTTTTGGGGGCAACTGCTGAGCCCTGAAAGGGAGGACTGGCTGGGAGAAGGTGACAGGCAGGAAGGGCAGCTCCAGGCAGGAAGAGATTCAGAATCACCAGAAGAAAGGGTCCTTCCTCCACCATGGAAACCTGTGTGACCCTGGACAGCTCACTTCTACACTCCTGGGCCTTGCTTCCCGCACATGTACAGTGGGAAGGATGGGACCCATTTTGAGTAGCATCCTGAGGATGGTTGAAGACTAAGGGAAGATTTTGCTACCATTCATCCCAAGTTCAAGGAGTGCCTGGCCCTGATTGAAGTATGAGGTAGGGAGGAACGATGTGACATAAGCATGCAGAGGTCTGCCTCTGTGTGTGTGTGTGTGTGTGTGTGTGTGTGTGTGTCTGTGAAAGAAAGGCTTGGTTGTCAGAAACTTGTGTGACCTTGGGTAAGCTGCTTGTCCTCTCTGGATCTCAGAGGACTTATCCATAATGGGACAGTCTACACTGGGTCCCCAAAGGCTAGAGATTGGCCTCTGTCACCATCCAATGCAGAAGCACAGCCTGGATGGTACAAGGAGAAGACCAGAGCCACACTAGCCTACCTCTGTGCTAGACCCTCACAGGCAGTGTCTCAGTCCCCAAAAGAACTCTAGAATGCAGGCACTGTTACCAGTAGGGCGACTGAGGCCCAGGCATTTTTGTGAATGCACTGCCTTGGAGGTCTCTCTTTGGAAGAGTGAGATTCATGCTGAAGACTGATGGACATGATGGTAAGTCCTTTGTCCATCTGTCCATTTTACCACCATTCCCTACCCAGTCCCATCTCCCATTTGGCCCCTACAACTATATGAGGTAGAGGCTACAACCCTCCTCATTCCCAGGTGCAGAGACTGAACCAATGCACAGAGAGGGGAAGTGGCTTGGCCAGAATCAGTAAGGGAGTAAGCAGACATCTGAGCCAGGATTTGCACTAGATTCAAACTCCTAGATCCATGGAGAGAAAGGTCATTCCAGGCCAGCACAGGACTCACTATTGGCCCACTCTAAGAGTCTGCTTAGGCCTCCAGGGTCTCACAGGGACACCAGAAAGCCTTGAAGAGGACTGGGCAGAGTGGAGGGCCAGGGGGACTTGGCCAGGCAGGTGGGGCAGCTGGATAGGAGAGGGAAAGGGGCACCTGGAAATGCCAGCATCACAAAGTCCAGAGGTTTTTAGCCTAGAGTTCCTTAAACCCCTGTTAGCCCACTCTGTAGATGAGGCAAACCAACCAAGCTGCCCAGCTGCTTGGATGGGAAATCAGATCAGGACACAGCTGGCCTGCCTCAGATCTCTAAAGTCGTGGCAGCACCAAAGTGATGCAGTCCAGAGGTGGGGAAAGGGATTTGGGGGCTCCAGAGGGCCAGGACCCATCTCAGCTGACTGTGACCCAGGAAGAAGGATTATAGGGGTCTCTCTTGCCCTCCACCCCCACCAACCCCCCCCCAGTTCTCAGTAGTCACCAGGGTGGAATATTTTAGCACCTATAGAAAAACCGCCACAGACGGCCTGTGGCAGCTGTTGCTAAGGAGACGCTCCCAAAATAGCCCCCCTCCGCCAACCTTTCCTGCTGCTGCTCCTGCTGTGGGGAGGGGAGGAGGCCAGGCAGCGAGGGGTGTCACATGAGCCCTGGCCCCATGCTCACCCACTCATCCTGGCCCCTGGTGGCCACCCTGGCCAAAGACCTGGGCAGCTACAGGTCTGCAGAAAGGGCAGTAGCTGGCCTGTGCATGCCTGCAAGCCTCACCATAGTCCTCAGCTGGGAGAAGAAGGTCACCAGGTGAGAGGAGAAGAGAGAGAAGAAGTCACTGTACCCAAGACCCCCAGCACACTCCCACACATGCATGACCCCAGATCCTCAGCGCATACCACACGTAGCCCCAGGTAGGCTCACCTAGATCTGCACACACATCAGCAAAGACACAAATAGATGCATGGGTAAACACATATGCCACAAATGCACAACATGCACCTGCACGCACATTTCAAGCAGCCATAAATATACATGTTTACATACACATACACAAATACACATCCCAAGTACACACAGACACTGATGCTTGCATGCCAGGCACAGGAACACACACACCAATGTATATATATGCCTTCACAGTACATGGACTCACACAGTCACAGGTACACACAACTGTCCCAACACCTGCCTGGCACATGGCATTCAAAGGACATTTAGTTGCCCAAAGGGCTATGTCCAGAGGACCAGGTCTTGGGGCTTTCAGAATCCTCACCTAGGGGGGACTTTCTACAATCCAGCCACAAGGAGAGGATGAGGAGAGCAGGGACAGGTGGGTGAGCAGAGGGTCGTGCCTCTGTGGATCCCTTTAAGTCTGGTTATCAGAAGATCCCCAGTCTCTGGAGAGCTGCCCTGCACCCATTCCATGGGGGGGGGTGGAGGTGGAGCAGACTCACCTGCAGACTTGAAACCTCAGGGCTTAGGGGGTGCTGAGACCAAATTCACAGTGCAGCTGGATGTCAGACTGCCCTTGGGGCTGGGGTGATGAAGAGGACAAGATGGCAATAGAGAGCAACAGTGATGGCCGTTGACGTGTGCAAGGCACTTCACAGTTTACAAGCTGCTTTTACATTCCTTGGTTGTTTCACACACCTGGTGACAGCTACTCTGTGATACTGGTAGTGGTGTCCCATCTCTGAGATTCAGAGAGGAGAGGAGACTTCAAAACCACAGCAAGTTACTAGCAGAGCTGGGACCAGAGCCCCAGGAGGTGCCAGCGCCCAGCCCTGCGTCCCTTCCACTCAGCTGCCCTGCTCAGGGGGCGGGGAAGCAGGGCACTGAGGCAGGGCCTGGCCTTGCCCCTGATTCTCCCCGTAATGTTGGGGATCAGCCAAGTCCTCCCTCTCCCCACCTGGAAAGCTGAGAAGGAATCCCCTGGGGTGTATCAAGCAGCAGCTTGTGGCTACAGACAGGCTGGGGAGTGGCGTTTGCCGATGCCCTCGGAATGCCAGCGAAAGGACGAAGGGCGGCCGTGTCGCTCCCCTTCTCACTTGGCCAGCCGCGATGTGTCTCGCTCTGTGGCTTCAAGCTCGAATCCGGGCTCCGGGTCTTCACTCGCGCCTCGTCACTCTGGAGACGCCGAGAGCGGCTTGCGGTTGCCGTGGGAACCTCGCCAGGGCCCGAGGCGCGCGGGCACGACTCCGGCCGGCGCAGGGCCTGAGCCGCCGCGCGCAGCGCAGACTGCAGAGTTTTGGGGCTCTGAGAAAGACACCTGTCGCCCGCGGCGAGGGCGGGGACGTCGCGGCTCAGGTTATTATGCCTTTTTTCTTTTAATTAAGGTGTAACTTGCAGGCAGTAGTGCACACACCTTAGCAGTGCACAGCTCCATGCATAAAACTCGGGGCACCCCACCTGAATCACTTCCAGCGCCCCAGAAGTCTTACACCTCCTGGCAGAAGCCGGTGACAAAAGAGTTTTCTCCGGGTCTGCCTTTTCGGGCCCTCGTTGGGCCTCAATTTTGTGTAAGAGGGGCAAGGAACTGACTGACATGTGCGGCCCAGATAGTCCTTGGGAGGCACTTTAGATACACAGCTAACTTTGACCTTGATAACCACCCTGCGAGGTCAGTAGGTCTGGTTACCGATCAAAAACTGTGACTTGGAGAGATTACTTGTCTAAACTCGGGCAGTTTATAAATTACTGAACCTTGAAACCTGAATTTATGTGCTTTGATGGTTATCTTTTTCGTTTTCTTCTTCCTTTCGTTGGCCTCTTTTAAAGAGCAGTACAAATAAACTTCACTAGGCAAGCGGCCTTATCTCGCTCTCTTTATGCATGTAGTTACATGTATTTAGGGACTCCTCCTCTAGGTTTTGTCTTTGAGGCAGGCTCCTACTCACTCTTCAAAACCCACCAGGGCATCACTCCCCCTAATCCTGCCTGCTTTAACCACAATCCTGCCTGCGACTCCCCCAAGCCAGGATAATGACTCCTCTGAGTCCCGTCCAGTCTGTGCACAGGCCCCGCCCCCTCCAAGCCGGAAGAGTTCCTGGAGGCCGCATCTATGTTCAGTCCTCGAGGCTCCTGGCACACAGCTGGTCTTCAATAAATGTGCTTAGAACTGAAAGTGAAAGGGAGGTTTTTACAACCTTGGCATCTTGATCTGTAAAATGCCGCCCACCTTGGACCTGATGTCCTGCACTTAGGATACCCAGCCAAGAAAGAAAGGAACGCCTGTGGTGGAGCTGGAGGGAAAAAAGGGCAGCTTTCTTTCCCCTCCCCCTCCCCCAGAGTTAGGAGATGGACTTAACGAACTGCCAGGGAAGAGTTCACTCCTTCCACCGAGGACAGTCCACTGCCAGGCAGGCCCGGCCCTGCCCTAGTGGCCTCTGGGGAAGTCCCGGGAGCCAGATCCCCTTCCTTCCAGGGAGGCAAGAGGCAGCTAACTGATGAGGTGTCCCTAGGATGCGTTTTTCACCTCACAACCCCATTTCCTTCCACCAAGAATTTGAAGCAGTTTACAGGATATTCGGTAAGTACAGTGGTGGACTGTAACAAGGGACTAGGACCAGCAAGGAAAAACAGATTATATATATACAGATTTTTTTCCTATGATTGAGCAACTCCCCCATTCTCTCTCCCATAACTTTGACCTTAAACATACAGTTGCTTTGTTCATGAGGAGAAAGCCCTTACCCCTGGAATTGAAGAAAATAGCCCTTCTGCATTCCCGCAGCAGGCGCACAGAAAACTGAGGCTCGAGAGTCCTGCTCGGATCCACTCAGCACAGGTGGGGTGGGCATGGGCTAGAGCAAAGTGTTTTAAATGAGCAAAGGGTATTTGCTCTGTGGGTGCTTTGAAAGATATGGCACCTTGGAGATGAGGTGGGTATGAAAGAGGCAGAGTGTAGTGTTTTGTTTCATGGGGAGACCAGCAATACTGGATGCATCAAATAAGTACTCAGCAAATCTAGCGTCATTATCCCCACTTAATGTATGGGACAGCCAAGACCCAGAGAGGGGACAAGGCAGCTTCAAGGCCACGGTGGCAGACAGAGGACCAGGTCCTGTCTCTGAGACCACCCAATCAGGCCCCCTGAGGCCTCCTGGGAGAAATAAAAGGAGGGGGAGGACTCAGCCCTGCCCCAGCCCTGCTGCCCCCCACTGACAGTCGGCTATCTCCCAGGATTACAGATGTTTCACCAAATGGCAAATGCACGTGCTTCTCCCTAGGGAGAAAGCGGGTGCTGCGGAGATGCCAGCTGGTTGAGCAGAGAACCACAGCCACACCTGAGGGATTTAAATAGCCGCCACCTTCTCTGGGCGCTGGTTGATGAGGAGACATTTGGGCAGGGTTGTGGGGAGAGCAGGGAACCGAGGGCCCAGCGATGAGTGTGAGCCCCTCCTCCCAGAGGGTGCTGGCCCGTGCACCTCCCCTCCCAGGGCCTCAAGCTCTGTCACCTGCACTGCGAGCACCGGTGACGCTGAAAGGCGAGCCTGACCGTGCCTGGCACGCCTTAAGTCTACAAGACTTGATAGCTTGTGTTGTCATCATCACCCTGCCAGGGCAAGAGTCCCTGACAAATGGGTGCCTGCCCCTGCCCCTGCCTACCCACCTCTCCCAACTGGGAGTTCCTGGCCTGCTGTGGCAACCCATAATGCAGTGCAATGAAGTAATCCCAGGAGCCTGGAGTCACACTGGGGGCTGGACTCCAGGCTTCAGGGCTACTGTGTCATGTGACCGTACGCAAGTCCTTTAACCTCTCTGGGCCTCATTTTCTCCACAGTGGCTCTTTCATCATGTTGGTTAGGCAGCACCTTGCAAACTTTCATGTGCACTGGAGCCCACGTGGGGGCTTTTTAACTGCAGACTCTGAGTCACCCAGCAGGCCAGGCAGGGAACCAGGTTCTGCACTCCCATAGGCCGCACATAGAAATGCTGTTGGTCCTCAGGCCACATATTGACTGCCCTACCTTGTGAGTCAAGGGAAGGACTAAGAGGACAAGGAAAGGGCGCTGGAACATGGGAATGATAGATTGCATCATGGGAAAGTTTCTCTGGCCATTGTTGGCAGGAAGTGAGGAGTGGGAGGAGGCCAGTTGTTTAGGGAGAGATGAGGGTCTGAGTCGGGGAAGGGCTGATGGGGGTCAAGGAGAGGGTAGTAAAGGCCCCTGACTTATCTGCTCCACTCTTACAGCTGCGGAGATGGGTGCCCAGGGAGGGCAGCTGACCTGCTCAAGCCACATGGCATTGGGAGGACTCCCACACCGGAACTTTCACTCCTTCTACCAGGCCTGCCTCTCAACCCTTTGGGGCCTCTCCCATGCCCCTTTCTAACATCTTAGCCCACCAAGAAGAGAGAGATGCCAAAGAGGGCCCTGGATCTCCCTGACAGACTTGATCTGTTTATGCTCACAGCAAATCCATTTTACAGATGAAAACAGACCAAGAAAGAGGAAGGCCCCCAGCACAGGGGAGGCTGGAACTGAGGTCAGCCTGACTCTACACCTGAGGGCTGTCATTAGTGCTGTCCACCCCAACACGGTCAAGTCGGCACAAGTGTGGCCATCCAGATTAACGGGTAACAGCGTGGAGACCATTCCTAACTCTTCCCCACCCCACCCCAGGATGATGGCCACCTATTTCCAGGGGACTTTCCATCTACTAGGATCACACTGGACACTAGCGCTCAGGACCCCGCTTCACCCTGACACCAGTGCCACCAGGCCGTGAGCAGATGAAGCGACGGCGCAGAGGCGGATTCGGTGGCCTGCCCAGGGTCCCCTGCGGATGGCTGCAGTTTCTGGGGCGCGAAGGCGTCGGATCCCGATCCCCGGGGGCCGCGGGGCACAGCCGGAAGCCCCCCTTGAGGCCAGGCCGCCGCGCCCGGCGCGAGGGCTGGGATGGCGGGGGGGCGGGCTCTCCGGCGGCGGCGCTTCCTGGCCCCCACCCGCGCCGGCCGGCCTGGCCACGTCACCGCCGGGCAAGGGTGCGTGGCGGAGGCGCGCGGCGGCCGGGAGCGCGCGAGCCGGGCCTGGGGCACCGCGAGGCGGGGGCGGGGGACGTGGCAGCGCCCCGCGCGCCACGAAGTTTCCGAAGTTCGCTGCGCGCGGCGCGGAAGCGGCCGGCTGGACCATGAACGTGTTCCGAATCCTCGGCGACCTGAGCCATCTCCTCGCCATGATCTTGCTCCTGGGGAAAATCTGGAGGTCTAAGTGCTGCGCGGGTAAGGGGCGCCCGGGCGGGAGGTGGGGGACCCTCGCTGGCAGTGCGTGGCGCCCCAGTGTCTGCGCTGGGTGGGGGTCTCTGTTTTGGGAGGTCCTTGAAACTCAAAAAGAACTCAGGTTTTTTTTTTTTTTTTTTTTTAAAGTAAGGTCCAGGGTCAGAGAAGGACCCGCGGGGACACCCCGCCCCCACCTCCCGAGTTCCTTGGAAGAGGAGGGAGTGAGGAGGAAGGGGACACCCTCTTCCCCCAGTAGTCACCACCCCTCATTGATCCCCGTCCATCCTCACTGGGGAGAAGATGGGGAGAGAGGGCGTGCCCTCAGGCGGTGGTCCCCAATCTCAGGGTCTTCTCTTCCCTTCCCCCTCCACTCTCCCCTGCCCCTCCCAGCCTTCTCTGGCCAGAACCCTCTTCCTCCCTCCACCTGTGTGACACTGTGGCTGTGATGTGGCAGGTGGGCGTGGAGCTTCCCCTGAGCCAGGTCCAGGGAGGGCTGAAGGGTCCCCTGTTTGCCTAGCAGTGTGGCTGCCTTGCTAGGGGTGGGGAGGTAGGAGAAATTTCGAATGTAAACCAGTGGTCACCTAATATAGCCAGTGCAATCAGAGGCTTCTAACCTCCTGCAGCCATCTTTGCCCCCGGTGTCCTGGAGGCAAGGCCTGTGCTTGGCACTGGGGTGGGGAGTGGAGGGTGAGCTCAGGCGGCTGAGTGGCCCAAATGCCTCTTGGAAGAAGCAACTCTGTGTGGCTCCTGGAGGACTCAACAGGGCGTCAGCCCAGGAATAAGGTAAAGTGTTGAGGCCACCAGGGTGCAAACAATTCACACAGGTCACTGAGCTCGTGTCTCAGGACAGGTCCCTGAAAAGAAGAGTCCAGGCAGTGGTGGTCTAGATGTGAAAAGACCTTTTCTATCAGGCTAGGGAGTCAGGACTAGGGAGCCATGTAAGATGTGAGAGCAGGGGAGGAGGCTTGAGAGGGAAGCCAAAGTAGGTCTCTGTCTGTCTGTCTCTCTCTCTCTCTCTCTCTCTCTCTCTCACTGGAAACTAGATGAAGAGAGCAGGGTGGAGGCTGCCACCTGGGAGGCCAGGCAGGAACAGGGGAAGGGGTGAGGGTCACTTTGGAGGCAGTGGCCATTTGGGTTTGGAGCCTCTGGAGAGATTTGCACCCACAGCCCTTCAGGGTCTGGCTCAGGGTGAGTGAGCCAGGGATGCTAAAGAGTGAAGGGGAGCAGCAGGCCCCAGTATGGGGCGAAATTACTTGCTTGCTGTGCCAGGCACTGTGGTAGGCCCTGGGATAGGACCCCATAGAGCCAGTCTGGGGACCTGACCTAGGGTGGGAGACCAGCCACAATGGACAGCCAGGGCAACTGAAAAATAATATGGTTTCTTAGGGGATGAGTGCTGTGGAAAAAGTAAAAGGACAGTTTGGTGGCCTGGTGGACCTGCGTGTGTGCAGAGGGGTCAGAGTCAATCCACTACCTCCAAGGAGCAGGGCCCGATATGTCCCTGACCCTGTCTCACCCACTCACCAACTCACCATGGCCCCTGGGTTTCTATTTTCCTATCTGTCAAATGGGAGGAGGGCTGCCCTGGTCAGTGGTCCCACATGAGACTGGTGAACCCCTGGGGACTGGCGAGGTTTACGCTCACATCCTTTGCTCTGTACATCCAGTTTTGGTGGCATCATTTTGTTCAAAAGCATGAAAGCAGTCTGCTCAAGGTCACCAGAGTGCAAAGGAGAATGAGAAAGAAGCCCAGGCCTCTCCTCAGGAGGCTGAGAGGAGAGGGACACAGCCGTGTGTCCCCCACAGGACTGGACTGTCCTAAACAGGGCACAGGGCCTCTGGCATGTGGCCATGAGGACTCAGTGGTGGCCTCACATCCAGCCCAGACTGGAGCTCACCTCTATCAGCATTGCCTGGTTCTGCACCCACCCCCTACTGTGTGCTCCTCCACCCACAGCCAACCTTGTTGTCACCCTCACATCCAAAGTGCATGAGTGCCAGGCCCTCCAGAAGACTCTGCTCGGGTCTTATTTCTTCCTCACATCAATCCTGCCACGTGCTGGAGGGCACCCTTTTTACAGGTGAGGGACATGAGGCCCATGTCCTTCAGGACGGGAGAGGCTTTAGCGGTGCCCTCTTTGGTTATTAAAAATCATCCCCCTGCCCCCAAAATGACCAGCCCTAAGGGGATGGTTGGGCGAGGGAGCGTGGGTAGACCGTGGATGCAGGATGGTGGACCTGACCGGAGTCAAGTCATACAGTCTTGGCCTACAGCCCAGCATTGCTGTTCATTTGGAATAAAATTCAGATGCATCACCCTGCTGGAGGAAGACTGAGGGGGACCAGAGGAGAGAACAGCCCAGCTAGTGAGCTGCCATAAGTCTTTGGATCTTGCTCTAGGGGAATTTGGAAGCCAGGCATCGGTGGCTCACGCGTGTAATCCTAGCTACTCAGGAGGCAGAGATCAGGAAAACCATGGTTTGAATCCAGCCCCAGGAAAAATAGTTCATGAAACCCTATCTTGAAAATACCCAACACAAAAAAGGGCTGGTGGAGCGGCTCACGTGGTAGAGCATCTGCCTAGCAAGCAGGAGGCCCTGAGTTCAAACTCCAGTACTGCCAAAAAAAAAAAAAAAATCTCTAAAAGCAGGATTTTGTAAGTAGTCCCTGGCTTGCTTGGGTGGAGTATGGAATTGGGCCACAGGTGGGCAGAAATGAAGGATTTGGGGAGACCAGTGTGGAAGTCATTAGGGGAGGGCGGAGGGCTGTCTGAGGGGCCACAGAGTGGGAGAAAGGAGCTAAGATGTTTTGGAGGGTTTTGTGGGGCCTGGAGACTGATTGGATGTGAGGAAGAGGAGGGAGACCCAGGGTCATTCTGGGTTTGTGGCTTGAGCTGTGAAGACGGGAGAAAGAGAATCTTGAGGGAAGATGACTTTGGGCTGGACTGTGGTGAGTTTGGGGGTTCATGGGACTGCCCTGCAGTTCGGAGCAGACATTTGAAGGGCCAGAGCCAGAGGTTCCCTGCATTTGGGGGTGATGACTGTGGTGACAGTTGAGATGGCAGAGGGTCAGGGCAGGAGGCAGCCCAAGGATTTGGTGGCAAGGGACAGGTGCAGCCACAGAAGGGGAAACAGCAGTGTGGGGCTCCAGGACCAGGGAGGGATGTTCAGGACAGGTGTGGGAGGGTCAGTCATTCTGAGACTTGGGGGAATGAGGACAGTTGACATTTGGATGCAGAGATACGGGTATCATGGATGTTGCAGTTTGATGACTGATGGAGGTCATGTCTACCATGGGCAGGGAGAGAGAAAAGTAAGGCTTGGCCCTGGGACCATGACCACCACCAGTGGTCAGAGGAGCCCAAGGGGCATGAGTTTGAGGTTAGTGGGAAGTCCTGACTGGGATCCCTGAGCAGGGAAGGGCACAGAGGGGATGCTGGGACATCTGAGTGAGGTCAGGAATAGAGTCAAGACTGCCAGGCCTATGTCTTTCTCTCTCTCTTTATCCCTGAGCTACAGCCCCCGGCCCTGATTTTTTTTTTCTCCAGTATTGGGGTTTGAATTCAGGGCCTACACCTTGAGCCACTCCACCAACCCTTTTTTGAGATGGGGCTTTTTGAGATAGGGTGTTGTGATCTATTTGCCCAGGCGCCCGGCTCTGATTTTCGTTTTATGAAGAATGAAATAGGTGTAACTTTTGTAACTATGAAAAGGGCTTTATAAAATCTGAATTTTGGAGAATAAACTAAAATGCTGCCCTGGCTTCTGCCAGCTCCAGCCTCCGTGGTGACTCTCTAGCTCCTCTTCCCTAGGACGGAGCTCTGGGGGTGGAACGCAGAGAAGTGACACCCTGACCCAGTCCAACTCACACCACCCCCAGCATCCTCCCCAGAGAAGAGCTGAGGCAGCAGGGCACTGGGAACTCGGTGTTCAGCCTTTATTTGGAGACGCTTACTGAGGGAAGCGGGGACTCCAGCGACTGTGGGAGGGGCTGAATTGCCTGGCCGTCGCGTGTGGGTGGCCTTGGAGTCTGTGTCCTCATGTCTCCTGTCCTCCTGCGCAGGCATCTCCGGGAAGAGCCAGATCCTTTTTGCTCTGGTCTTCACCACCAGGTACCTGGACCTCTTCACCAACTTCATCTCCATCTACAACACAGTGATGAAGGTGAGGGTGCAGGGAGGGGATGGTGGCAATGGTGGTGGTGGTGGTGGTGGCAGAGCTGCCAAGTCCCTATAAACTGTGGATGGCTCCAGGTCAATGTGGGTGTCAACCCCAGCTTTGCGGGTTGGCCGGGGTGTGGGCCAGGCCTCTGGCCTGTCCCTGCTGTATAACCATGTACAGAACAAAGGTGGTACTTGAATTTAGCTCAGAGGGTTTGCCTGTGAAAAATCAGTGAGATAATTAATGTAAGTGCAGAAACTGCATCGTGTATTAAACAGTCAGATTAATACAGATTACGAAATCTTTCCAGAGTTTTCAGAGAACTCATCTTGCCATTTTCTGCCTCTGCTGCGCCAGACATGAAGCAGACACGGGAGGCCCCTGTTCTCGGGGAACCCAGGTTCCAGTGGGGGAGTAGTCATAGAACAAGCATGGAGCATGGGGAAAGAGCTATGCAGAGCATTAAAATCCCCATTTAATTGCTGTTTTCTTCAATTGAAAGCAGGGTTACCTGGTAGAGGACGACTAGGGAGTTGGCTTGGAGAGTGTAGTCAGGAAGTGGCACAGGGGCTGAGATCTGAGGGACAAGGAACCAAGCACAAGGTGTAGCTGCTGCAGACGCTGGGGACAGGGGCAAGCTTCTGTCCACAGGGGACAGTCAGGAGGCAGGTGCAGCGGGAGCTCTGCTGTGGTGGAGAGGCCAGCTAGGTAAGGCCTTAAATTTTTTTTTTTTTTTTTTTTGGTGGTACTAGGGTTTGAACTTGGGGCCTTGCATTTGTGAGGCAGGCTAGACAGGTACTGTACTACTTGAGCCATGCCATCAACCCTTTTTGTGTTGGTTACTTTTGAGATAGGGTGTCACTTTATGTCCGTCAGCCTGGACTCTGATCCTCCTGTTTGTGCTGGGGAAGTACATATGCCCAGTCGTCAGTTGAGATGGCCAATCTTTTGCCCTAGTTGACCTCAGACTGCAATCCTCCTGAGGCAGAGGCCTCCAAGTAGCTGGGAGTCTAGGCTTGAGCCACTTTGCCTGCCTTGCTTTGGTTATTTTGAGATAGGATCGCACAGTTTTGTCTGTGCAGGTCTGGAGCACAATCTTCCGATTACGCCTCTCATGTAGCTGGAATGACAGAGGTGCATCACCGTGCTCAGCTTTTATTGGTTGGGTCTCACAAACTTTTTGCCTGGGCTGGCCTTGAACCTTGATCCTCTTGAGTAGCTAGGATTACAGGCATGAGCCACCATGCTAGCGATTATTTTTTGAGACAGGGTCTCACCATGTGGTCCAGGTGGCCTTAAACCTGTGATCCTCCTGCTTCAGTATTCTAAACACTGGGATTATGGAGAAGGTTCTTTAAAAAGGACTTACCAAGCCGAGCATGGTGACCTATGCCTGGAATACCAGCACTTGGGAAGCCGCGCAGAAGTATTGAAAGTTCAAGGCCAGCCTGGGGTACTTAGCAATACTACCTCAAAAAAAAGTTTTCCCAAACTATCCAGTGCTTTGCATTTACGTGTCAGCAGTCATCCTTATCTGCAAAGGAGGCTGGGAAGCGTAGTTTGTAGTTGGGCATGTTATCCTAGTTCTGAGAAGAGCTCACAGTGTGTGTGTCCAGCCTCTCTTTCAGGGTTGTTGTGAGCCAGATTCCATGAGATAATACTTAGTCAAAGAGATGTCCCTTGGGTTTCTAGGCACCTTGTCACTAGGAGTGGTAGAGTGAAGGATGCTGTAATGTGCGGGGTATTGAACTCATTCACTGTGGACCTGAATCTGGGGTCTTGAAATCACTACCTACTTAAATTTACCCAAGCATCAAACCCCACGTGCCTAGTTCATTTCTCTGCCCTGGGGGTTGCTCTGGGCATTCCTGACAGACTGTAGACCCAGCCTTGGCATGGCTAGATGAGGCCGCCCAGTCTCCACATTTATGGAGTGAAGTGGTCACTACTTCCTCCATTCCTTCACTCCTTGCAGCATTACTTTGTGCCAGCCCTGAGTTAGGAGCTGGGATTCAGAGGTGGGCCCTGCCCTCAGTGAGCCCTCTTGTAAGGGGGAACACACTTGCACACAGATGTTTAGAGGACACAAGATCCCGGGCTGTAGGGAATATTTTCACACGGAGTGATGATAACGTGTGTCCCTCATTCTAGCGAAGGTCTGGATCGCGTAGTACAAGTGGGAGCTTTCTAAGCTAGCGTGGCCTTGTGCCAGCCAGCAGTATCCACATCACCTGGGAAGTCAGAAATGCAAATTCTCAGGCCTGCTCAGCCCTATGAAATAAAAAATTCTGGGGCAGCCAACCTTGTGATTCTGATGCCCATTAAGCTTGAGAACCTCTGATGTGGAAGTCAGGGGCCACATCTGAGTGCTAACAGTACAGGTCGGAGGGCAGCTGCTGGTCAGAGCTTTTCTGAAGGACCAATGGCAAAGTAACTCAAGGGACATTAGTCTTTGTGGGAGAATACTCGACAGCCACCTCGGGAAGCTGGCCTGTAGGGGCCCTGAGATGTCTTTACTAAATCCCTTGAAGAAGACTTTTACTGTTTTTCTGCCTGGTTTTCTACAGATAGAGGGGCGACCAGGGCACCTTCGTGCTTGGCCAGGCTGGCCTTGGACTGCAGTCCTCCTGCCTCTGCCTCCTGAGTACCAGGATCACAGGCATGCACCACCGTGTGCTGCTCCACCTTTGACCCTTCGTGGTAATGTCAGGCCTACTTAGAAGCTGGGAGTTACTTCAAAGGGTCGTTAAGCCAGGTGTACTGCCATATGCTTGTAATCCCAGCACTCGGGGCGGTCGAGGCAGGATTGGCAGGCTTGGGGTCATTCTGGACTGCATAGTGACATCCTTCTAAATAAAAGGTGTGGGGGGTTCCATTCACTTTGGATTTTAAGCCCATTGGGCCCGAGAGGAACGGAACATACACACTTGGCCTGTTGGTGACAGTAGGTCACTGGCCGTTGGGTTTGTAAGGCCTCAAAGCCTAACATGCTGGGAAATGACTTCACAGATCCCCATCTCTCCCTTTCCAGGTGGTTTTTCTCCTCTGTGCCTATGTCACCGTGTACATGATCTACGGGAAATTTCGGAAAACATTTGACATTGAGAATGACACATTCCGCCTGGAGTTTCTTCTGGTCCCAGTCATCGGCCTTTCCTTCCTAGAGAACTACAGTTTCACCCCTCTGGAGGTAGGAAGGTGCTGAGTGCTAGCCCCAACAGCAGGATGCTCCCTAGTGTCCTTCTGGCCCGTGGGGACATCTGGGTTTGCCTTGTGGCACTTACGCCTGTTGTCCACGGGCCGTTCTTAGTGCTCCACATGGAAAGCGTCTCATCTGTAGGTCCCGCTCCTGGCTGTCGAGACGTGGTCTTGAGGTGAGCAGACCGCTGAGCTCCACAAGCCTGGGCTGTGGCCGTGTCTGTGGCCAAGCACCTCTGAAGATCCTGATGCGTTTATGGACTGCATTTTTAGATTGTGTCTTCAATTACGCTGTTTATTTAGTGAAACCATGCAACTTTAAAAAGTACATTCCATAGAAACGTTCATGCTATGTTGTAAAAACAGGTAGTATGCATTGCGCATGTGAATCTTAAATATTATCAAATTTGATTTTTATAGAAAGCGATGGAAGGGTACACTGACAGATTAAAGTTTAGGATGGAGATGCTCAATTTATTTCCTAGCATACACAGGAGGCTCTGGGCAGTGATAGCATAGCCAAAAAAAAAAAAAAAAAAATTTAAGTTCATCAGGCCAGGTTTGTGACTCAGTGGCAGAACACTTACTTAATATGTGCAAGGCCACAGGTTCCATACCTAGCACCAAAGAACAAAAAATATTAAAAATTCCTAGCTGTGTGTGGTATGGCACACTTGTAAACCCAGCATAAAGGAGGCTGAGGCAGGAAAACCCAACTTCAGGGCCTAGTGAAGGCCCTTCAGGGCCACCTAGTGAGGCCGTCTCTCACACCCACACAGAATTAGTTCTTTACTGAGAACGACTTGTCACCAGAACGCGCCATCATTTAGCTTCCTTTGAAGCTGCGGCCTCCACCCTTTACTCAGCCTCCTCTGGTGCGTCTCTGACAGATCCTCTGGACCTTCTCCATCTACCTGGAGTCGGTAGCCATTCTGCCCCAGCTCTTCATGATTAGCAAGACCGGAGAGGCTGAGACCATCACGACTCACTATCTGTTCTTCCTGGGGCTGTACCGGGCACTCTACTTAGCCAACTGGATCAGGCGGTACCAGACTGAGAATTTCTATGATCAGATTGCTGTGGTGTCCGGAGTAGTGCAAACCATCTTCTACTGTGACTTTTTCTACTTGTATGTGACCAAAGGTAAGTGCTGGGGGGACAGAAGTGCAGCACTGGCTGCACTGAGGTTACTCACACCCTCCATAAATAGTTGAGACGTCATAGGTGACAAAGCTAAGTCCCACTCTCCAACCCCCTCCAAGTGAAAGTATCTTCAGAAAACAATGCCATGAAAGAGAAAATACAGACTGGGGAGATTTTATATGTACTGTGCAAACTGTACAGGCAAGATGACATCTGACATGCATTTTGTGAGACTGGGGCTTGAACTCAGGGCTTCACACTAGCAAAGCAGGTGCTTTACCACTTGAGCCACACCTCCAGTTTGACGTAGTTGAGAAAATTTAGAAACATTCCAGTGCAGAGTCTGGTAGCCCATACCTGTAATCCCAGCATTAGGGAGCAGATACAGCCAGCCTGGGCTACATGGTGAGACCATCTCAAAAAAAGCCTAAAATAGGAGGACCACAGTCTAGGCCAGCCTGGGCAGAAACTCAATTTCCAGAACTACCGGAGCAAAAGTGAAGACATAGCTCAAATGGTAGGCCTGCCTACCATAAAGCAGTTGTTAATTGGTGTGAATTCTAATTTCATCTCCATTTTCTTTCAGTCCTTAAAGGGAAGAAGTTAAGTCTTCCGATGCCAATCTGAGGGCCCCTGAGATGATCAACACCTTAACAATGACACCAAGCAAACCAGTTTCACTGTTCTCTTTGGTGACTTACCCATGACTTGGGATAAATGTTAAAGCCAGAAAAATGCTTAGTGTGAATTTGAGCAAAGCACTGATGATCCCATCTAGACCTCAGTAGTAGGCCCTCCTTTAAAATACCCTTCATGAAAGTAATGAAAACCTCAGAACAACTGCTGAAGTATGGTGTCTCACAACAGCAGCTGAAATGAGACCTTAAGATGCCTACCCCATGGGTGGATCACATAAACTACTGCTTCTCTAAGGTCCTAGTTTAAGACTCATTGCCAAGAATAGCCAGACCAACCTGGAAAGATCCCATCTGAGTGCCCAGCTAAGATCAGCTGGAGCATCAGAGGTGTGTTCTTGTAGTTTTCACTTTTCAGTGTGGGCAGGGGGACCAAATTGAGGTAGTCAGCATACAGTGATAGCCTACAATGCCCATGGCCTTCAAACTAAATTTACCAACTTTGGCAAGAGTCAAGTATTTTGTGCCTCACCTTTAAACCTGGCTTGAGTCTTTTACCATGGCTCACACAAGCCCTCCATACAGTACCATGGCTTGACCATTTACTGATGAGCCAAAGATACCTACCAGATATCCTGCCTTGTTTTGTAATTCAGATTTTTTCAATAGACCAATGGGTTCCAGTGTAGGTGCTAACTAGAGTGATTAGTCCATCCAACTTCCAACTTTTGCCTTGAAGCACAAAGTGTTAAGAGGACTCTACTGAACTATTTAGAGAAATTTTAAGCAATAAAAAGCTCACGCCTTATTGTCAAGTGTTTTTATTTATACCTACAAAAGAAAACAAGATGGTATCAAAAGGACAATTTACAAACTAAGAATAGTAACATAGCTCTTAGCATCCCGTGCCTTAACAGCACACATCTCCAAATCTTCAAGTCTTAATGCAACAGGAATGTGTTCAGAGACCAGCAAGGATATAAGAAAAGAGCACTGATCCCAAGCAAAGCCACCAACCTTTTAGATGAGAGAAGTCCACACAATGGATTGTTAAGGAGGCATGGGGAGAAACAGCCCATGGCTTAATACTGAAGCCCTTTCTCTAATGAGTTTCAATCATAAACACAATAACCAGCAAAGCAGAATTTGTCTTCTCCTGTTCTGAAAAGCAGAACCCAAATGATGATAGACATGAAGTGGAAGTCACCCTGGAGCTTAACAGTGAAAACGTGATTAGATTTCAGCTGTGCTCAGGCCAGAATTCTTGAAATTGAAAATTTGTTACTTTGCTTTTAGATTATAATGTCCCCAGTGGAAAGGGGAAAGCAAGCAATCCTACATTGCTTGCAAAGCCATAGACCTGCCCCAGAAACAGATGCTTTTAAAAGCTGCAGTAGAAAATGACATCCTCCTATGGTGGAATCTCTGTGTGCTTGAAGAAAAAAAAAAAGTCTGAATTTGGTTGTGTACGTCCACAGAGTGGTCAATGCTTAGACTTTTTTTTTTGGGGCGCGGGGGTAGGGGGAGGGAGACACACCACTTTGGTATGAAAGCACAGAGCAGTTTTGCCACATTTCTTCTGTGCCTACCATTCTCCCTTGGCCTCATCTTCTGTGATGGGAAACGAAAAGAAAAGGAAGAAAGCAGAAAACAACAAAAAGGATGTTAAAAGTTTTTACATGCATAATTTCAGCTTATGCTGACAACCTACCTGTATGCTGCATATTGAATCATACTTTCAGAAACCCTCGGAAACCATCCCTTTTCTCTCCCTGAAGGATTTTAAAGGGAAAACAAAACAAAAAAGAACAAAAAAACCTCAAGTATCTTGATAGTTATATCTTACAAACCAGTAAGCACTCTCAAAACCGTACACAAAGAATGCAGTGGAGCCTTCCCCCTTATCTGCACTGTGAACCAACAATACAGGATATAGCATAAAAGGTAAACAGCCCTACCACACTGGACTTGGAACAGGTTTCTGAAGCTGTCTTACACCCTGTCCTGTCAGGGTGAACACAAGAGCAGAACATTCTTTCCAGGTTCATCTGCTGCTGGAGTCTCGTTAAGACAGTACTATTAGAAAGGGGACGAACTCACCTTCCTTCATATAAAAGTAAAACGGACTTGGACTTTAGCTGCCTAGGCACTACCTACCTGTGAAAAGCTGAGTGCAGACATGCCAATGACAAAGTGCATTCAGCTGTTACTCATCACTGTAGAATAGTGTGTAAAACACTAGTGGGCTAAAGTCTTGCTCAAGATAACTTGGCAAAATGGACAGTAGCTGGCAAAGAGCTGCTCTTATTCTAGCTCTATAAATACTGAATTTAAGAGGAAAATCTGCCCATTTTAAGTACCTTGTTCATAACTAAAGGTGCTTTTACACTGCAGATGCATAGATCCAACTGCTTCATAAATTTGCAGTGAGCATTTATGTTCATTTGCTCACAGCAGCCGTCTGGCTACAAAATGAATTTTACAGATGGTCCCTAGTTATGTGGGGAAGAAACCCAGGTAGCTTCCACCAGGTGCTGAGATACTACAGTTCAACCCATAGGATAAAAGCTTGTTTTAATTTAAAAGATACACTTAAAATTCATTATTTAACCTGACACTAAATTGGCTATTTTTCTGTAACTGGGAGGGGAGAGAGGGAAGGCAGAGTATAAGGGAGACAAAACCCAACTAATAATTTTTAGCTGTTAAATGCACTTAAGTCATCAGCCAAAATGACAATGACAAGGCATTGTCTTAAAAACTCATCAGGCCTGAGGAACCCTGATCCAACTTGAGTAATATTGAAGCCCATTATGGAAAATGTGTAGGGAAATCCCTCTTGGTTCTCTAACTTAGTAACCAGAGCAATCTGAAGCACAGATGCCATCTTCTGCAGAACATGTCTGCCCCGCCTCCCTCCTTTCCACCCTCCAGCCCAACTCGGCAATAAAACACTGGCTCCCACAAAAGGGTGTAATACCTTACTTTTTCTTTTAAGATGAAAAATAGCTCCGTATCCTCAACATGCAATAAGTTGGGAGAAATTAATCTCTTCCAGTCAGCTACATATATATATATTTTTACAAAATCTGTTATTATAGACTGGATCATTTTGGCGGGCAGAAGAAACCTGGCAGTGAATTCTAACTAATCTGCATGAAAAGACAATCACAATGGTTTGGGGCGGGGGAAGAAAAAGAGAAAGAAAAAGAACAGGGAAGAGACAGTGTTCTTTTAGATGTTATTAGTCTGTGCGAGTCATTCGCACGGAGTGGTTTCATTTACGTGAAGGAGGAGGTGGGGGAGGAGGAGGAGGGTACTGGTAGGCTGTCTGCCCCATGTAACCTATCATGTTGGTAGCTCCTGGAGGCTGTGCAAACTGTTGTGACATCAGTGGCTGTGGCTGCTGCCCAGACCGGCCTATACCACTAAACTGCTGGCTAGAGCTCTGTGAACTTCTCCCAGTTGAGGTGGTGCTACTGGCTCCGTAAGTGCCAGCGCCATACTCCTGGGCTGTATAGCCACTGGTGCCATAAGCAGCTGCCCCATAGGTGCCTTGAGCATAGGTGTATTGGCCTGCTTGTGCTCCAAAGGCAGAATTTGGACTTCCATAGCCACTGCCATTAGCATAACTGGCTCTATCGGTTTCACTACGATCCCGATAGCTTGTAGAGTCTCTCCGTCCACCATCCTTGACTCCTCGAAGCCTCCGGTCACACTCATCCTGATACATCAGATTGGGATTGTTGGCTGAAGAAGTAGTCCGGTATCTTGAACGACCTCCTGATGGGAGGATACAAAGCATTTTTTAATGACAGGTATATAACTCAAACAAAACTGAACTGAATATAAAAACTCAAAATGGGTAAAAACAAAGTATTTAACGTGTTTCCTTTACAGGCTAGGCCAGGCTCTGAGCCAATAGCTTACTCAACTTTTCACCTTTTAGGTTCTTTTGGAGGTATTGGGGTTTGCACTCAGGACTTTGTGCTTGCTAGGCAGGTGGCTACTGGTTGAGCCATGTGTGCAACCTGTGGTGTTCTAGTTATTTTCGAGACAGGGTCTTGCAGTGTGTCCAGATGGGCCTGGACAACAAACTTTTTGTCCAGGGTGGCCTGGGACAGTGAACTTCCCAATCTTAGCCTCTCCAATAGCTAGGATCAGCCGTGTACTGGAGTTTGAACTGAGGGACTGGACTTTGAGCCACTCCACCAGCCCTGTGTTTTGTGTTAGCCTAGTGTATTTTGCAACTGTATAGATCCAATTGTAATGCCTCAGTTTCTACTTCCATAAAATGGTCTAAAATTACCAATCTTTTTAGCCCAAGTTCTGAAATTAGAGGAATGTAGCACTTCATCGGGCTAGTTTAATTTTGAACATGCACAAGTACTTCAAAATTCAGTTTAAGATTATAATCTACAGAAATTGTGTTGTCAGAAATAGCGCAAGTGTGATGATACACATTTTCTGTTCTTGCTTTTTATGAGACTGGGGTTTGAAACTCACAGCTCCATGCTTGCGAGGCAGGCACTCTACAGCTCGAGATCCACCTCTAGTCCATTTTGCTGTGGTTATTTTGGAGTGTGTGTGTGGGGGTGTCTCTCACACTGTTTGCCTGGGCTGGCTTCAAACAGAGATCCTCCTAATCTCAGCCTCCCAAGATTATAGACTTGTGTCACCTGTGCCTGGCTAAAACATACTGTCTTACTTAGGTTATGAAAATTACTAAGCAAAGCCTTCAGAGGATTAAAAAGGTAAGGCACAATGAGCACAAGAAAGATACCATGGTAGTACCTGGAAAATTCCAGGACTTACCCTTACCCCCTCCACCGCCGCCGCCTCTGTGGTCCACCAGCTGCATCAGCTTTGGATTGATGGCCTGGTTGGCCTCTTCTAGCACTTTTATCAGCTCTCTGGCCTGCTTTAGGTTCCCTGGGGTGAAGAAAGTATAGGCAGTGCCCTTGTTGGTGCTCCGGGCTGTTCGGCCAATACGGTGCACATAATCCTCTGAGCTGTTTGGATAGTCATAGTTGATCACAAACTTGACATCTTCCACATCTTCAAAGTCAATGATGAGTCAGTGTGTAGGTTGATGTGGCAGGGAAAGAGAAGGTAAAGGACATGCCAACAGATGGGAAGCACGAATGCAGATGACAGCAAGAGGAGAGAAAATCAAGTTAGTAACCACTCTGAGCAGGTACAAAAAAAGACTCATCCCAACAGAGTAAAAGAGGATTAGTGATTCTTGGGACATGCATGGAATATTGCATCTTTGTTATAAAATCTTAAGGGAATCCCATTCGACCATCCCAACTCCTGCCTTTCTTGTACTTAACCAATATACTGACAGGAGCCGCATCAAGATTGGTCTTCAGACCTACACATTCCAGTGTCATCCTTTTCAAAGCTGGAATGCAGCAGCAGTAACCACTGTTAAGATACAGGGCCAAATCACTTCTACTCTGTTGGGAGAAGCCTGGCAAAATCTATAAACAATGCAACAAACTTACCTTAAACCAGTCACAGAGCAAAATAAAAAAAGGAGCTTCACATACTTATAACTACATTTTCAAGACCTAAAACATTTAGCTTCTTTTTTGCTCTTATATTAAAAAAAAAAAAAAAAAAAGATCAGCACCAAAGAACACACCTAATTTCCTTTGCAGAATGAACATTCAGATTATCTTTCCCCTTTCCATTACAAGAGCACATTACACTAAAATTTCACTATACCACCAAGCCCAGCCTCCGTCAAATGGAATTTTTTTGCTCAACTCAAGGTTATTTCAAACTTAGTACTTGTATCAAGGATTAAAGATTATCTGCGTGACCTGGGAAGTTAATAAATTGCCAAAAATGTGGGAAAAACCATGAAACCTTGAGACATGTTTAATATTCTGTCCACTGCTGGGAATTGGGCTGAATATCCTCCTAATACTTAAAAGTATGTAAATGTTAGTGTAATGCTTTCAGCTAAATGTATTTTTTAACCTACTTAAAACAAACAAATTTAAGAATATAACAGAATCCTAATGTTTTGTGGAAAAAAAATCTGCATTTTACAAAGAATATTCAGAAAATATCCTAGATAAAACACAGATTTTTGTGATATAAATAATTAAAAAACATTCTCTGTTTGTTACCAGACCGATGCACACTCCCTCCTCCTTTGGGAAACCGCTGCAGCCGATCCCGTCTCTTTGCCTTTTATTTTTGGCGGCCTCCTTTCGAAAACTCCGCCTTCTGACACGGGACCACTGGAGCGCGGGGAGCATGCATCAAGGGTCCGTGGCAGTGAGAAGTCCCCACACACGCTCGCTCTGTGAACTGGCTTAGATGCTTCTCTGTAGCCCCATTTGGTTGCCAAGCGCCGGAGAACCTGGGTTCGGGTAAAAATTTCAGGTCCTCCAACGCCTCCCCCAAGGATAATTGGGGTGATTGTAGAAAAAAATAATTAAAAAAATGTAAGTTACATCCAAAGGGTCAGACTGCATCTATTGCCCAGACTGGATTAATTTCAGGGGGAAAGGGGAAATGATTAAAAAAAAAAAAAAATTCAGCTGTTGTTACAGGGCTTGTGAAGAAGGGGCATTATGTCTGTTTCTTATTACAATAAAGGCTCCTCGGTCTTTACTGACCCCTAAAGTCCTGAATCACACCAGAAAGACGAGAAGGCACTTATCACAGGGGGCAGCGTGAGTCTCCGGCTAGGGCCAATGATGCCACAAAGAAAAAAAAAATTAGAGGACGTGAAGGCAAGAAGGGATTTGGCGGGAGTGGAGGGAGGAGGAGGGGTAGGGATTAGATTCTGTGACCGCATCTTCAGAGCTTGGATAATGCTCCTTAGAGCAAGCTGAATTACTGCACTGGGTGCACAGAAGTGTGCTTTCCTAGCAGCAAGAGTTGTGGCTGCACTCAACAGTTCAGACACTGAAACTTGGGGGTATTTGTGGAGGGGTTCAACAGGGGGTGGACAGGGTGATGGTTCTTCATGCTAGAGAGATGTCCTGTGTGTGCACATAGCTGGCCGAGGGCACAAAAGAGCAAGCGCAGAATTTGTTTTTCTTCAGTCAAGCCTGCTCTGATGTTATCTGTGCACTGCCACAATAGTATCTTGCTGTCTTTATAGAAGGTGCTGTAGCAGGGTAAGAAATTGAAAAGTTAACATATTGGCCAGCTGCCTAGGATGAGAACTTTTGGTCTGGAAAGCCCTATGACATGGCCTGAAGCTCCGATCACTAACTGGGAGGGTCTACGACTAGCCAACAGGCTCATCTAGAGCGGCTTCGGGCCAATGTAGATTTGCCTTGGCCATGTACTGAGTGATCTGCAGCTGATATCAAAGCTTCTGTTAAAAAACAAAACAAAATAAATTCAATATTTTCAATTCAACAATGTGAAGTTTAAACAAAAAAGGAGAAATTAAAAAAAATCCCAGTGGAAAGGGAGTACTGGTTGCCTGAAGATGACTATTATAAAATTATGGGAATCGAAGAACTTACCTGAGGGAACATTTAAGAGACCATCACTCGACAGGAAGTGAAAAAAGGCCTGGTGACTCAGCTGAAAATCGCACCCCTGTCTGTGAGGTAGAAGCCTTCACTTTCCAGGATCTTGTAGGACCTTGGTCAGAATTCTGCCATTTTGGTGGGTTTTTCTCCCCCCTTTTGAGTTTTACAAGGCAGCAAACAAAGGGGCCCAAAATAAGCACTGATGTTGAGTAACAAGAAACAGACTCAGGTATCTTCCCTCTCCCCTCAGTTGGATGAGGGGAGGTGGGATAGAGAGTCTAAATTATTCTAATGGTAGCCAATTGATTTGGTTTAAAATGTAGGGGACATGGAGCAAATATTTTTTAATAGTCTAGGCAAGATGCACAAAGAAGCTACCAGCACATAGCAAGCCTGTTTAAAAACCACCATTACTGAAAGCTTTTATATAAACTGCTTTCAGACCTCCACCTCCTCTCCCAACAGGCCCAAGTTCTAACGGCACAGACCCAGACATGACCTCAGAGGATAGAGACAACTTTCCGTCATGGCTGCAGGTCACTACCTCTGAAGGAGGGAATGATTAAGTCCAATGGATAAAAGGCTCCATCATGTTTGTATTCCAGTTTGAATACCTGTTATCTTTATATTAAATAGTTTAAGGAAATATGGTACTTCTCACCTTACTGGCAAGAAATTAAACATCTGCCAATAGTTTAAAGATTTCCTTGTGATAGATTTTTTTTTTTTTGAGACAGGGTCTTGCTATGTAGCCCAGGATGGCCTTGAATCCGAAATCCTCCTGCCTCAGCTTCATGAGTACTGGCGTGCACCAACACGCTCAGCTGGAACAATTTCTTTTAAAATATAAACGTTTTGAGTCAAGCTCAAGCTTGTTTAGTTCAGAATGGTCTAAAGTACCACAGAGTTAGCTATATACATTTTAACTCCTAAAGGGTTCAAAACTCCAAAGTATCTTGAAATTAAGGTCTTTAACTGGGTAAGACACCTATGGTTAAGATGTATGGGTGAGGAGGGGATAAGTGAGTACCCATCATTATTTTACTTCATTAACATTGGGGAATGCAAATTTAACTGAATGATATTATACTATAGACTAATTAAATCCCATTTAATAAGTGCTCATGGAACTGGACCTCTATACATTTATCTGCAGTAGTTAGTACAGGGAAAGAATAAATGAAACTAGCTTATGATTGCTAGGTTCAATCAGGCTCCTTCTACCCAGCCAAAAATAAGAGTGAAGAAGTTGTTCAACCAGATGTCTCCTCTCCCTCTAACTGAATAGTCATGCCTAGGCCTTGCTGCAGACCAAAGCCTGTTTGTCAGGAGCAGGAAGACTTTGAAATGAAAAGGAAAAAACCCAAAAACCAAAATCCAAAATACCGCCCCCCCAAAAAACCAAAAATCAAAGCAAAACAAACATCAAGGTTAAAAAAAAATGTGGGGGCAAAAAATCACACTTGTATTCTTCTTTTACTAAATGTGTGTATATAATGTTAAATTTGAAATGACAAACCTTTAAATCAAAAGATACATAAACCACTGACAGAGACACCTGTCTATACAAACCTAGCCCACGGGAGGCTACATCCGTGGCAATGAGGATGGGAGCCTTTCCAGATCGGAACTCTGCAAAAAAAAAAAAAAAAAAAAGAAGCATAAAAGGCATTATTATGTAACCAGGGTAAAGGAACAGTCTAAAAACATGCACTCAACTGAGAAAAACCAGTATTTCCCTTTCTCTCAATGGCCTTCCCATAACAGTCATGAAAAACAAGAGGACTGAAAGAAAAGTGTGCTAAAATACAGCTTAGTGATTAAGGAAGACTTTTGTTTAAACATTTCTGTTAACTGTCAAACCTTCCCAAAGGAAGAAATTAAAGGAACCTGCTGTTATGTCAAAAGTGCCCCCAAATTAGAAAAGAACAGTGCCCTTAGCATTCAATTAGCTAGAAAGAAGGCTAAGCAAACTCTGGTCTACAGGTCAAATCTGGTACAAAACATCTATTTTTGCAAATAAAAGTTTTCTAGGAACGCAGGCAGGCCATGTGTTCACATGGTGATTATGGTTAGCGGGTCTCTGGTGCAGATCATTATTTGGTCTGCAAAGCCCAAAATACTACTAATTGGCCTTTTTACAGATTTTTTTTTTGGGGGGTGGGGAGAATCCATTGAAAATTCTTAGTTTTTAAAACTTACCATTAAGTACCCAATCTCTTTCTGGTTGACTCTTGTCTCCATGGATACACATAGCTGGCCAACTAGCAGAAAAAAAGAAACTGATTTGGAAATCTTCCAAAATGAGAAAAACTAAGTTTTAAAAAGAAATTATTACACAACTTTGACAAGGTTGGTTAGGCTACCTGAACAGAACAATGGCTTTATGTAACAATAGCACATCAGGCACTAAAGAGTACACAACATCTGCAGTATCAGTATCCATCGGGATGCTGTACTCACCCATCTCTGCGCATCCTTCGTGTGAGGTCATCACAGCGTCTTTTTGTCTCTACAAATATTATCGTTTTATTTTCCTTTTCAGCCATTATTTCCTCCATCAGCTGGATTAACCTGAAAACAAGACCAGCAATGCAGTCATCACAGAGAAAAAAAAAATCTCCCTGATAATGATGTAGATCACTGCAAAATTTCTTATTTTTTTCTTTTTGGTGGTACAGGGATTTGAACTCAGAGCTTCACACTTACTGGGCAGGTGCTCTACCACTTAAGCCAGTCACATCTCCAGCTCTGTTAACAGTAGCTAGCTCTTCCTACACCTTCAGCCATTCCACCAGCCCTGTTTTGTGTTGGGTTTTTTCACAGGGTCTTGTGAACTATTTTTCTTAGCTACACGCTGAGCATAGTGGCCCATGCCTATAATCTTGCACTTGGGAGGCTGAGGCAGAAGAATTGAGAATTTGAAGCCAATCTAGTATAAATACATATTGAAACTCTACCTTATAAAAAAAGGAAGCTTTACCTATTTACCTTTAAAAAATTATTATTAATAAACACTGAGCACTGAGGCAGGTCTCTATGTTCTTAATACTAATTCATACTATCCTCAGAGCAAGTTTGATGTTGATGGTACTATATCCCCATTTTATAGATAAAGAAACATCTGAGAGGTAAATCCTAAGTCTGCCTGAAATTATACAGTTGGTGAAAAACAGCCACCAGGCTCCAATGAATGACACAAAGGGTGGATTACTAGAAAGACAGTAGTGTTTTCAAGAAGTATTGGTGTCTGACGCCCAGGGTGATGGCATGAGACTATAATCCCAGCATTTCAAAGTTTAAGGCAGGAGAACAGTGAGTTCCATGAGTTCAAAGCCAACCCAGGCTACATAGCCAGAGCCTGTCTCAGTAAGAAAAAATAAAAAAAGTTTTTTGGCAAATTAGGAAAGACTTATTAGCATTAACAAAGTAGAGAGTGAAATCTTTCATACTTGTGGTCTTTTTCACTTTCCATGCAGACATCCACAATCTGAAGTATGTTGTGGTTGGCACTTAACTCCAGATTGCCCACATTGATCTGGGTGTAATCACGAAGGAAATCCTCTGCAAGTTGTCTCACTTCCTTTGGCCAGGTTGCACTCCACATCAGTGTCTGCCGATCAGGCTATTAGGAAAGGCAAGGTTTTCTTTTAGGCTAAGGAACCGCACAATAGTCAAAGTGTATAAATAGAGTGAAGTATGAGCTTTACACACCCTGATTTGGTCAACAATTTTACGGATTTGGGGTTCAAAGCCCATATCAAGCATCCTGTCAGCCTCATCCAGCACAAGGTAAGTACATCGGCGAAGGTTTGTTTTTCCCGACTCCAGGAAATCTATCAGGCGTCCAGGAGTAGCTATGCAGATCTCAACACCTGAAATAAAATCAAAGATTTAGCCCATTAAAAATTCTTTCTTTATCATTAATAAACCTCAGCACACAAACTAAGCAACACCTACTCTGGCTGTCACACTCTATGTGCAGAGCAGTAGCTAAATTTTAACAACACAGTATTTGCAGAAGTGTAATATAAGGAGCTATTTATGTATGATCATCAAATCTTTAGCAATGAACTTCCACTGCTGAAAATGCTGAAATTTTCAAGAATCTGCTTTCAAATTCATTCACAGAAATTCATAAAGTGAAATAATTGTTTTCATACACTTATTAATTTTTAATTACCTCTTTCCAAGTCTCGAATCTGAGGACCTTTAGGAGCACCTCCATAAATGCAGGTACTCTTCAATCTAGAACACTTGCCATAGTCATCAGCCACCTGTTGTACTTGCTGAGCAAGCTCTCTGGTAGGAGCCAGCACTAGACACTGAAACAGGCAAACAAAAACACTTGAGACCCATCTCAAGTTAAAACAAAACAAACAACCATAACAAACAACCAACTGTAGTCTAATTTTTCCCTGTCTAATCTGATACTTTCCAAGGTATGTAATAAGGTGGGAGGTTGGGAGGACAGGGAATAAAAGTATACTGGAGTGTGGGAAAAGTGATTAGAATTTACTATTTAATATGCAAGGATACTACAACTTCATCATTTGACTTACTTCAAAGCATTGTGATTTATTGTAGTTATATATGTACCATCCTACTTACAGATTGAATTGCCTAATTTTTAGCTACACACAAAATGAACATGTGGTTTTAAAATATTCCTGCAGCAAAACTATATTAAAATAGTGTTAACAAATAATAGTTGCACGTCCGGATCTATAAGATATCAGCTAATGATAACAAAACTAACTCTACTGACCACAGAGAAAACACTGTAAATTAAAACATACTTGAGAATGTAAATGTTTATAAATACACATGGCAGATACAAACTATATTTTTTTTGAAAAGGCAGATTATGAGTGTATATTCAAAATGTTTGGAGACTAATACTACTCAAATCTTTTACAGGAAACAGTGTAAGTAAAAAGTGAACAAACCACAGTATTTATTTGTGCTGCCCTACAAATATTTGCAGAAGTTATTATTTAACCCCAAAGAATACATGCCCCAACATAATTCTTAAGAACTACAGGGCAAGGACTTCACTGCACACCTCTTTTGGCAGTCCTGAGGTTTGAAATCAGAGCCTCGTGCTTGCTAGAGTCAGATGGTCTACCAGTTGAGCCTAACCCCTCTTTTGTATCCCTTACAGCATCACTGAGTGACACTGGTAAAAGACGAAGATTGGTTCAGCTGATGTATGGAGGCTCTGGGTTCAATCCCCAGCAAATAAACAAGAGCAAGAGTAAGACTGCTCAAATTTAAGCTAGCTATTTAATTGCTGTGTGACCTTGAGCAAACCATTTAAATCCAAGATGGAGATTATGAAATCATATCACGTATGTGTAGCACACTGCCTAAAACTCAGCAACCATTCAATTGTAGTTGAACAATTAATTGTACCTGAACAGTTAAACAAACTGAAAGACACTTACAATTGGGCCATCTCCCCTTTCCAAGTATGGCTGGTGGTTAATATGAACAATCGCAGGCAGCAAATACTGGGAAGGAATAAGAATGACAATCTCACACATCAAAACCAAGCCATTAGATCTTGATAGTTCTAACTTAAATTTAATATAATGCCTAAATAGAAAGTAAAACAGGAGGGAGAGGGTTAAGAAAGAATACAAATGGGGTGAATTTGATCAAAGTATCCTATGTGCATAATCTATCATAATGAAATACCTTTGTACAATTTAAGCTAATAAAAAAATTAAAAAGAACTCATTATTGTGACACTCATATGCAATGTGAATTTGAACATAAAATGCTTTCACATATCTGGTAACTAAAATACCTATACTGTCTGAATTACACTTGAGGGGGGAAACTTTCAAAGTACACTGTATTCAACTATGTAATTATCACAATGAAACTCCTTTGTATTAATGCTAATAAAAAATAGCTAAAAGAATTGAGAGCAAATGTAACAAAACAAATCACCACACTGTTAAAGATCTCTATGTGCTGATACCTACCGCCAATGTCTTCCCAGAGCCAGTCTGAGCAATGCCCACCATATCCCGACCACTAAGGGCCAACGGAAATCCCTGGCACTGAATCGGAGTTGGTTCTGTAAAGTGCTGATCCATCAACACATCCATTACGTACTCTGTAACAGAATAAACATGTTGCCTTTTTTTCTTTTTCTTTTAAAATTTCTGGGGAACTGCACACAGGATGTCATTCTCCCATGCTAGGCAAATCCCCTTGCCACTTGAGCCACGCCCCCAGTTTGTTTGTACTTTGTGAGATAGGGTATGGCTAACTTTGCCCCAGGAATGGTCTCAAACTCTTGGATCCTCCTATCTCTGCATCCTGAGTAGCTGGAATTAGTTGCATACCACCACTAACTGTTTGGCTCCAATTAGTTTTTTAAAAAAATCCGTTAGTTTTTAAATGGAATCTCTGACCTGCTCACTGCTCCTTTGAAAATCACTATCCTAAAGCATCTAGGGGCGGGGGAGCCCGTGACAATCACTTATTGTTTGTCAAACTCATTACATCTGGTTAGAAAGCAATTTCATTCTACTTTGTAAAAATGCAGAGTCAACACCTTAGTGGAAGATGAAAAACTAAGAATTTTTTTTTTCTCAGTTTAAACAGGAGAACAAATGAGCATTAAAAAAAAAAAAAATCTCTCAGGCACCAACATATTTGCCAGTAGCCTTGAGCAGGTTGTAAAAACAAATTGAAACCATACATAAAATAAATTACTACCTTTATGAAAAACTTCTACTTGTCTCAAGAAAATCCTGAGCCTGTCAAAACCTTTAAAGTAACTTATCACTTGTGTTTACCATTCAACCAAATTTCACATTTAAAATTCTGGACTGAAGAACACTTACGTGGGAAGTTAGCATGATGGAAGGCAAAGACAGGTTTAGGACAAACATCTCCCCCTCTCACTGTTATCTCTTTCTTTCGGCGTAGCTCATCAACCTCATACTAAGGAAAAAAATAAAGACAAGTGAGTATAAGAGTTATTCTCAATAATCAAAACTTGATGTGTTCCACATCAGTTGGACAATCCATAGTAACAGCGGTAAACATGTAATGCACACACATATGTTGTAAGTAAATAACACGCTTCAAGTCTGTGAAGATCCTGTTAACTTTGTGAGTTAATGATTGATGTAACTGAGGGTTCCACTTTTTACAGGAAGAGGAAAAAAAACCAAAGTAACTTGTATCTAAGATTAGCATTAAAAGGAGGACAAAACTTAGAGTTGGACTCAAGTGTTGTTTCTGTTACATTATTTTTCCAAACAAGCAGCTATTTCATATAGAATGTAAAAAACATCATGGAGGTTAAAACAGTTACATGATGTCAATTCATTCTTTTATTCAATTTTACTTCATAAAGCTAAAAAACATTAAAAAATAATTTCACTTCATAGATGGAAAGACTTGACCTAGTATAGTTAAAATCAGGTCTGATCAAAGAGTGGAAAGCACAAATCAACATGTAAAAACAAACGTGCATGCTAAAATTTGTCCCTCTCACAACTATCAGCAGTGTTAATAAGAACTTAAAGTATCGCTATGCTAGAGTAAAGCTTCAGCAGAAGTATACAGGTAAACTGATTCATTAATCTATTTTAAAACACTTACTGGAGTCAGCCTTGCCACTTCTGGATGTTCCACATAAAAATTCTTCTCAAACTTGGGGAGCTCACTCAAATCCCACTTCTTCTTACGTAAACGCTCCCCAGGGTTACCAAATTTTTTGGGGGAAGGCCACCACCACCTCTTGCTCCGAAACTATCAAAATCAAAAAATTTTTCAATTGATTAGTATTTTTTGAAGGCATTTCTTATGTGCCATAAAAATATGTGAAAAAGATTCCTATTATAGTACCAGCCCCTCCCCCTTCAAAAAGACCATTTTATACACTTATTTGAAGGTATAGGGATGTTTACAAAACTTCCTCAACTTCCCAACAACATAAGCTGGTTATATGAAGTGAAAAAGTAAATGCCTGTATTAAAGAAATGTAGCATGGGGAGGTCACATCACAGATTTTAAAACCAGACAAGGTTTTAATTTTGACTCTGCCATTTAGTGTTATTATGTGAAACAAATTATTTACTTCTTTGCACTTGTTTCTTACAGAGTAGAAACAGTACTTCAATTTTTTTTTCTTCTCACAGTACTGTGTAGTGTGAACTCAGAATCTCATGCTTTCTAGGCAGGTGAACCATTTTAACTATGCCTCTGGCCTTTTTTGCTGTTTAAGCTATTTTTCAGATAGGGTCAGGTTTTTGCCTGGGCTGGCTTGTACTGAAATCTTTGCACCTATGGCTCTTGCAGAGATGGGATTATAGCTGCATACCACCATGCTTAGCTTGTTTGTTGAGATGGACTCTCACTTTGTGCTTGGGCTGACCTTAAGCCTCCATCCTCCAGATCTCTGTCCTGAGTAACTGGGATCACAGGCATGCACCATCATGCCAATCGTACTATTTCATAAGTTGTGAAGATGAGAACAAGTTAGCATAATTGCATTCATTCACTGAACAAAGTTATTGGGTGCTAGGTACCACAGTTTTAAACCAGAGACACTACAGTGAATAAAACATAGACAAGTCTCTACTCTTATGGAATAGTCATAGGAATACATTACTTTACACTTTAAGTCCCTCTCTGCTAGCCTGCAAAGGCAAACTCCTGGGATCTACAAAATACTGGTGGTCCATCCAGTCTTTGCCTTTAGCCTGTGCTAACTAAGGAACCAAAACAAACACTTAGAATCATTCTCTCTTATGGTCTCCACCTTTATCTTTTATCTATTTGTTCCCAGGCAAATAATAGTTTTTAATGCTCAACTTTAACAAGTTAAAAGATCTTTTTTTGTTTGTTTTTTTATATACCTTTTACAACAAATAGGCAAGCAAAGCAAGAATACTTAACTTGAAATTTTAAGTTCCTTTTCCTACAAGATTCCTAACCCTAAAATGCCCTTCTTTTCCCTGTATCACCGTATGTAAAGCACAGAGCTTTGCTTAGTAAATTACGTAATTTTTCATGCCATCTCCTTACTCCTGGTAAAACACTGCACTAATTTGCTTTGCTCACTCTTACAATCTTGCAGAAATTTCAGCAGTAGTTATTTTAAAGAGCCTCTATTTCTTGTAATTCAAAGCACTGGAACCCTTTGGCTTAAAAGACCAGCTTGTTATTTACTGAAATAGAAACATACAAAGAGGTATGGCAGGAAGCTTTACTGGGATTATTTGGTATCTACATTAGTAGGTAGAACTTGGGTGATCCCATTTATACTGCTGCTAACCAGTAAGAGAAATAAGAAAAAGAGCAAAAGCATATAGCATGAGAGTTTATCAGTATCTTTAGTATGTCTACAGGCTTAAGGCTGAGTAACTGCACATAATCAAAGGTCACTCCATCCTGTATGTACATAAAGTGTCCTTTTAATGCTTATTCTAAATGGATCATTCTTAATTTTGTCCTTTCTTTCTCTTACCCTTTTATCTAAGACATACTGTTCTATAGACATAATTTGAAACACAGGGTTCTTAGAAAATATGCTGTATTCCTTGGTTACAGTAAATTCTGACCTCAAAATTCCAGACAGCCTTTTACTCCTTGGTGTACTATGCTGTCCACTCTATTTTGTGTGTGTGTGTGTATGTTTGTGGTACCAGGGTTTAAACTCAGGGCTCTTTTTTTTGTGAAGGATTTTTTCGTGAACTATTGCCCAGCATGGCTATGAACCACAACCCTCCTGAGTAGCTAAGATTATAGGCACGAGCCACCTGCACCCAGCTTAGCAGTTTGAGCACTTCTTACAGTTGCTCTTTTTTGTGGGACTGGAGTTTGAGCTCAGGTCTTCACACTTTCAAAGCCGGCACTCTTACTACTTAAGCCAAACCTTCAGTCCTATCCACTCAATTTTTTATAGAGTAGCATTAAGTTAAATTTAGCTATGCAAAAAATTTAACTTTGAAAAATTGAAGATTCATGTATTAACATGCAAAATTGTACTAGTTTACATATGTAACATCATTTTCCCTTTTTAAAGTAATTAATTCATCTCTGTAACATTAAGACAGAGACAATAGTAATTCAAGGGCTGGGGGACATGGTTCAAGTGGTAAAACAGCTGTCTAGCAAGTTCAAACCCCAGCACCACCAAAACCAAAAAGGCAATTCAGCCAGCCCACAGTGATGCACACTTGCAATCCTAGCTACTTAGAAGGCTGAAATCCAGAGGACTGAGGTTTGAGGCCAGCCCAGGCAAATAGTTCTGGAGACCCCCATCTCCAAAATAACTAGAGCAAAATGGACTGGACATGTGGCTCAAGCAGTACAGTGCCTGCAGGAAACCCCGAGTTCAACAACCCCGCCCAGACCTACAAAAAAAAAAAAAAAAAAAAAAAAAAAGAGGGTGTAATTCAAATCACAAAGGAATATTCAGGTGAAGGTATTTAAGGCACAGCCCTTAAGACTACATTTTCAATGCTTTTTCACGGGCCTAGTGGTGCTCACCTATAATCCCAGCACTTAGAAGGCTGAGGCCACACAGCAAATGTTGCCTCAAAAAAAGGAAAAAAAGCCATCTGATACTGTAATCAATATGGATTAGAGTATGGATCAATAAATGTTTCTTTTCTTTCCAGCACCTGGCTTGAATGTTTTGAGACAGGGTCTCATAGATCAGCCTGGGCTCAAATTTGTAATCCTAATGCTGAAATTTATAGAAATGTACCACCATGCTGGGCAACTACTTTGAATTTTGTCATTTTTGTATGTACCCTTAAATATGTCATCCTGCCACAACTTTTCTTTTAAACATGCTTTTGAGTCATCCAAGTGGATTCACAAGTATTTCTTTTTCACTGTTGCAATGTGTTCAAATACATGAATACTCACAATGTAGCCATCTGAGTTATTTCTAGTATCCTGTTGCCAGGAACAATGTTGGTACTTTTTGTACACGGACCCTATGGCAAATGTACAAAGGACTTCTCTAGGTCTTTACAAAGTGCAGGGTGTATCGTCTAGAAATTACTAGGTCATTTTCAACTTCTCTACAGGTATTCCAAGTGGTTGTATTGAAATTCACTTTTAAGTTTGGCTAAACTGTGAAACACCGAGCCATTGTTCCACTTCTAGTCCTTTAAATTTGGCACAACTGTGAAACACCGAGCCATTGTTCCACTTCTAGTCCTTTAAATTTGGCACTGAAAATAAAAATTTCCCTCCTTAACAAGGCATGTCAAAATCATTCTCATTTTGTAAATTAAATGGCAATTAAAGTGCTTGTGACTATTAGGTGCGATACTTGTGTATTTCAACCCCCCCCTCCACAGTTTGGGGAGAGAGGCTATCAAGACTAGAACTCTCCCTACAGCGCATGCTCTCAGTTCTCAGCACACAGGTAAGAGAGGTGGCTCGTCGCTCTCCGACGACGAGGCCGGCGCAGAGCCAGCTGAGAAGTGGCAGCACAAACACAAAAGACCGGACCCTAAGTATCCGGGAGTCCTCGGGGTCAGTCCCTCCCCAACCCCCGCCCCTCCAAAGTGACGGGGGCTCGACAGCCTCAGCAACGTCCTAGTGGGCCGGGAAGCGAAAGCTGCCGAACAGACGGCGGAAAAACGAGCAAACGTTCGCCTCACGCCCTGCCCCCGTCCCAAACACGGCCGTTTCCATGGCAAGCAATGCCACTGCGCTCCATGCTCCTCCCTGAGTTGTCCAAAACACGACTGTTTTGAGACTACGAGTGGCCTTTTAGACTGCGGTCCTGTTAGCAGTGGCCGCTGGGGACACCACGCAGGAGGCCATCTCGCGCGAGGACTTTCCTAGCCGGAGCGGGGACATCCGAGTTTTGCCCGGATGATGGCCGCGCGGATCCCATGACTGCCCGCGGCGGCCAGGCCCGAAGCCCGAGCCGCCCCCTCCTCCGCCCGCAGCCCTGGGGCGGGACGGCCACGCCACGACGGCGACCCTCGAGGAAAGGCCCCGCGTGGCCCAGCCACCGCCCCGAGCCCCAGCCCTTGGCCGCCATTGTGCCCCGGGGGCCCGCGGTCCGCCCCGCTCCTCAGGAAGCCACCCGGCGCCCCGGACTCTCCGTTCCTCCCCCACCCCCCTTACCCTCCACGGTCCCGGTCCCGGTCCCGGTCCCCAAAGCCGCCTCCGCGCATGGTCCCAAATGGATAGAGATCTGGGAGCGGGGCACGGATGGCCGGGCTCGGGAGGGCCTGCGGCTCCGGTCTAGTGACGACCGATGGCGGCGGCGCCTCCGCTGTTGGGGCGGCGGCAGGCGCAGCGCTCTCTCGCTCCGACGCGCTGTCTCCCGTCGCAGACGCCACCGTCGCCGCCTCTCTCGTCGGAGACGGGAGCAAAATACAGAGAATCGGGTTTACAAATACGGTGGGTAGGTTTGGCTACGCTCAACCCCGGCAGTGCCGCGGCTTAGGCGTCTCCTTCCTTCCCAGCGACTGCACAAAATGGCGGCTGCTGCTGAGACTGCTCCAACTTAACGCTACGTATGGCGGAGACGATACGTAAACAGCGTCTCGGAATAGCCCGAGGGCTCCTCGGGATGCTACGGCTATTCTTGGACGCGTTTCACGTCAGTTGCGGAGATGGGCGCATTTTGCAGTTGGTACAAGAAAAACAAAATACGGAGCCGGCGTAGAGTTCTCGCGACACCTGAACTAGAACGTGGGCTGGGGGGAGGGAAGAGCCTCCGGCGCGACGTAACGTTCTTTGCGTCGTTAGCCTACCCTCTATTGCGAAGATGCGCAGTATGCGTAACGCGTTCTGTTTAGAGAATAGGTTGTGCGCAGATTGCGACCGCGCAATGGAACTTGAGGCCGGCTTGTGCGCGTCGCTTTGCCGAGACAATACCGTCCTCCATCTTGCTGACACGTTTCAGGGTCTACAGGTGCCAGAAGTCCACAGGGTCTTCTAGGCCCTGGCTGACCCTCTGAGATAGCCGTGGCCGCCCTCTCGCCCCGTCGCCCCCTGGCCCGCCGAGACGGGCGCGCGCCCCGCCGCCATTTCCTGTAGGTTGCCTTTCGCCGCGCTGTCGCGGCAGCCATGATGGTGCGCGGTGTCGGGGCGGCGATGTCCCAGCTCCGTTAAAGCACTCTGCTTCTCTTGGCTCAACCTGAGGTGCACTTTCTTGAGCCGCATGCTGCCACGGCTCCCGGCTGAGCACTGCAGACGCGCTAACGCGAGCTCAACCCGCCTGGAGCTCCTCTGAAGGTGGGCGCCGCCATGAAACGGTGCCCCTCGGCTCCATGGCCCTCCGCCGCGAACTCTGGAAACGCAAGGCTTTTATTTTCATTGCGGGGGTCTGCAGAGCCTGGTTGGGTGAGATGGGATCCTGCTCGGCTCCTAGACCGGCTCCCAACACCATCTGCTCCCTCACTGTCAGCTGTACCTTAGAGCCTCGCACGGTTGTTCAAACAGCACAACTGCGGGGCCGCCAGGGCCGGTGAGAGCAGTCCGAACCCCTTTGTGACTGCAGATGGCGGACAGGACATGGAGATGGCGGCGCCAGGCCTCGGGCTAGCCGCCCTCTTCTGTGTTTCCCAAAGCGCTGGAAAAGGCGCAGGAAAGGAGCTTCCACTTGGGCCATGCTGGGTGCCTCGCTGGCCCAGAGATGATCCTCATGACATGTTACGTTCACTGGACAAACGGATAGTGGCACTGCCCTAGTTACCTGGGCACAGTGGCGAACAAGGTCCTGTGGTCATGGGTTTTGCACTCCACTGGGGGACTCAGGCAATAATGTTGAGGTCAGGCGCTTGCTAACTGTTGCTGCTGTTGACAGGGTCTGGCCATTCTCCTGCCTCCATCTCTAGGGTGCTGGGATTGCTGGCATGGACCACCGTTCCTGGCATAAGTAACATTTAAAAAGAAGGGGCCTCCTGGGGGCTGGAGGTGTGGCTTAAGTGGTAGAACACCTGCTTAGCAAGCTGGAGGTCCTCAGTTCAATGCTCCAAAAAGGGGAGGAGCACCAGGTGTGGTGGTTCGCACCTGTAATCCCAGCTACAGGAGAGATGTAGGGAGCAGGATCACTGTGTTTGCAGGGAGGAGAAGGGGACAGGGAATGGGGACAGGACAGGAGCTCTTACCTGAAAAATAGCTAAAGCAAAGAAGGGTTGGATGCATGGTTCAAGTGAGAGACACCTGCTGAGGTCCTGAGTTCAAATCCTAGTACTGCTAAAAATAAAAAGAAGAGGGGGAAGAAAGGAGGAAAAAGGAAGGAGAAGCTGGGCACCGGTGGCTCATGCCTGTAATCCTAAACTACTCGGGGCAGAGATCAGGAGGATCGCGGTTCGAAGCCAACCTGGGCAAATAGTTCGTGAGACCCTATAAAAAAAATGCATCACAGAAAAGGTTTGGTGGAGTGGCTCAAGGTGTAGGACTTGAGTTCAAACCCTAGTACCACAAAAAAAAAAAAAAAAGCAAATGGGGCTGAGCTACATTTCAGTGGTAGAATGCTTTCTTTAGCATGACTGAAGCTCTGGATTTGATTCCAAACACTGCTAAAATAAAAAATATCCCAAGTGCCAGTGACTCAACGCCTATTATCCTAGTTACTTGGGGAAGCTAAGATCCAGAGGATCACAGCTCAAGACCAACCTGCATTTGTATATACACACACTGACACAGACACACACATGTATGTATATATAGTGATGGGTTAGGGAGAATTGTGAAAATGCAGCCAGTGATTCGCTGATGAATGGGATATAAGGGTGAAAGAGTCAAGGATGAATTTTATAGGAGTGAGCCAATGAATATTAAGCTCCAAAGGTGATAATAGATTGACAGGCAGATGGAGTTATTTGGACTGGCTTGCCGACTTACCATATATGCTATATGATTAAACCTGAGGCTTTCTATATAACAAATGGTTTATAAGGTGAGTTAGGCCCTCTGAAGCCCTCCATACATTTTTGCCACCAGGGAATAATTCACATTTTGCTATGAGATCAAGTCCCTATATTTCATAGCTTCATAAAGTTTATCAAGGTATATAATATATGTCATTACTTGATCACTCCCACCCTCCAAAAATGGTTTTGGTCTCCCTCTTGCAGCCAAGATTCTGATTACAGAGTAAGTCCATAGGATGCATTGCACTTGTTTTTTCTTTGGGTGGTAATGGAGATTGAACTCAGGGCCTTGCATTTGTAGGCTCTGCCACTTGAGCCATCTCCTCTTTTTGCTTTGGTTTATTTTTCAGATAGGGTCTTGTGCTTTTGCCCAAGGCAGGCTTTGCACCTAGATTCTCCTACCGCCACCCCCCACATAGCTGGAATTATAAGTGTGTGCCTCCACCGAAGCTCATTTCACATTTTCAGTACATGCTTTCATCCCTCAAAAGGTTGAAGTTTATTGGGCTTATTTATTTATTTTTTTTTTTGCAAACACAGAGAAAGAGTTGTTAGGTTGGGAGGTCGGAGGCCCAGGAATCTCCTCAGTGACAGCCCAACCATTGGCAGCAGTGAATGTATGCTATGCTCAGTTTACCATGTTACCTGTATGTGCTGTGAGTTTTATCTTGCTTTTTGTTTGTTTGTTGCTCTACTGGGGCTTGAACTTAGGGCATATACCTTGAGCTACTCTACTAGCCCTTTTTTGTTGTGATTTTTTTTTTTTTTGAGATAGAATCTTGTGAACTGTTTGCCCAGGCTGGCTTTGAACCGTGATCCTGCTGATCTCTGCCTCCTGAGTAGTTTAGGATAATAAGTGTAAGCCACTGGCACCCAGCTATGAAGCTATGTTAATATGCTTATATGTGGTTTTGATTAACTCCTCTCCATGGGGCTGGAGGTGCAACTCAGTGGTAGAGCACTTGCCTAGCATGTGCAAGGCCCTGGGTTCCATCCTCAGTACCACCAAAAAAATTTATTCCAGTCCCATTTCTGGTCTCTTGGAGCCTTAGTAAGAAGATCCATACTATGGGCACCAGGAGACATTAATCACTTCTCACCAAAAAACGACACCTTTCGTTTTCATTATAGATAACCTGACGGTGGTGTAATTCCTCCTTCAATAAAAGCAAACTGAGAAGAGGTTCAGACTGCACTGTCAGCTCATTAGGGGTAAAAAGACAGGATGACTCACAAGCCTAGAGATGAACAGTATTAATACATCTTAAAGACTAAATCAGAAGAGGGATTATAATTAACAAGGTGTGACAAATCCCGCACTCACACATACAAATGCTTGGCATTTATCTTTTGGAACACACCCTGCCCTTTGCCTCCACAAATGGGCCATTCTAATTAGGGTGCAACAAAAAATTTAGTGACAGCATTATAATAACCTAGAAGCCTTCTAAGTCATGAGGATCCTAGTAGATGAAGGTTCTTTGTCTTGTTAAATATAAGTGAATGTGAAGATAGTGTTAAATGATGGGTTTGGGAGTGCAAAATCGGAGATGCCAGGAAGAGTGAGGGAGAGATGGGAGAAGAGGCCATGAGGTAATGCTCTAATCTTCAATAAAATCAGCACTACTCTCTGGTGCACAGGGTGTCTGCTAATGGAGGTGCCAAAAAAAAAATGCCCTGGAGTGCTGAGTTCCACTTCAAGATGGGAACTCAGACTGTCAGGGAAGGGGCAGGTGTATCTGTCCAAAGAGAAAACTTGAGATTTTTCCAACAGGTTGTAAGACTCAGGGTGAAGTTTTCTTTAGATTCCATCCTTCCTCAACCCCCTGTGCAGTGTTGCCTAGGCTTCAGACAGTCCTAGGGGTGACCTAGCTGTAGGAGTCCATTCACAGCTGGCTTCCCAGGCTCCGGCTTGTTTGCTAGCCAAAGAGAAACAACTGACCACAGGCTTGGACTGACCAAAGGCAGAGTGAGCAAGGCCATTTCAGAAGCAGCTTTTCAGTTCTGGACAAGCCATTAAACTGACTCACACAAACTACTACCCTGTCATCGTAGCAAGGGGCCATCTGCTTCATCACCTGCGAGGCTCCAGCCTCTGGATCCTTTGGGTAGGGTGCAGGTTAAAGATGGAATCTGCCAGGGCTGTGTGACTGTAACTCCTGGTGTTGGGGAGACCCTGACGCTCCCCTAAATTGTTCTTTACTGTGGAGTTCAAACAAGTCTTTTTCCCGAAGAACGGAGTTGGGATTGTTTTGATTTGGCAAACAGGAAGAGGAAAAGTCTGCTTTCCTAGGCTGGAGGGGAGGGAGTAGGTATATGCTGAAATCCAGACCAAGTTCCTTAGTAGCTGAGCAGGTGGTAGAAGGACAGGTGAGTGTGTTTTGATGGATTCTTTTATGTGCCTCAGGTAGATACAGGAGGATAGATCAGAAACTGAATGGAGCTTCAGAGGGAAGTTGGCAGTGGTACCAGAAAGCTGGTCCCCAAGCCTCAATGCCAGTTCACAGATAGTAAGAGCAGGGTTTTGAGGA